AAGCGGGAATACAGTGGAGTGAATCGCTTCCTAAATTCTAGTGTTTTCAAACGGGTTTTGCCAAATGGTGATATCGTTGATGGTGACTGGCTTGTTTATTCTCCAGCCAAAACATGTGTCTTCTGCTTTCTCTGCATTCTGTTTTTTAGAAATATTGTTATATGCAGGTGCTATTTTAAGGATGGACCAATTCATTATAAAATCATCAATATTTTTTTCTTTTAATTCCCATATATATTTTGACAGCATGGTGTCTTTTAAATACTTTTTATTTTTAAAGGATCGCTTATGATTGGCAAAAGGTTTTTTACATTCACCCTCTATTATACCAATATATTGTTTATCAGGTACATTTTTAAAAGAAACAACACATTTATATACCACATTTTAGAATAAACAAGTCTCACTCATTGGAAAATTGTTTTTTTGTTTACAACTATAGTTTTCTGTAGTTTTTTCATTTAGGATTTCTTTTTTGTTTAACAAAGCATTTTTGTGATCTTTTATATTTTCCATATTTTTTGTGCAACTGTAGCTAAGTTTAATTGTATTTTTTCAATACCACTTTTTTTAAGGGCATCTTTAAATACTTGTTTAGAGGAATTGAATATATTTTCATTAGAGGAGTTTTAGTTTAGCCTGTTATTAATTGAAATTGGAATTTGTTTTAGAATTTGGGGTAATTGATTTGAGTTAATATTAATATACAATAATTCATCGTTTGGTTTTTTGAAAGGCATATATGAATTTTCAGGGAGATTAAATGTGACGTCAAGAAAGTTCACCATTTTTAAGTTTATGTTTATTTCGATTTGAAAGCCAATATCTTTAAAAAATTTTATAAAATCTTTTCTAATTTTATCGAGCTGTGGACCAGATTTTTTATGCATTACTATTAAACCATCGTCGTGATAAAGACCTAAATCATTTATATTAATTATTTTACTTAATAAATCTAAAATATATAGTCCAACAAATTCACAAATTTCTGCTCCATCATAACTGCCAATTGTTACGTCAAAGCAGTCATGTATGTTTTTCTTTTTCTAAGTTTCCTTAATAAAATAAAGTAAGGTTTTTCTACTGCGTGGCTTTTCGCAAATTCAATTGTTTTATCTAAAATATCTGCAGTTATTGAGGGGTAAAAATTATTAATGTCAAGTTGAATAAATGTACAGACATTTTTATTTTCGATTACGGAGAGCCAATTTATAACATCAATGCTATTTTTCCACTGTTGCAAATTTAATTTATTTATAAGAATATTATTAATTTTGTCCAATTTAACTTTGCTTACATGTCCAATCTCACTTTTTGAGGGAACCAATAACCTACAAGGAAGTTTGTTTTGAAAATTTGGTTTATGGTCTTTTAGTGTTACAAAGGCTTGGGCAGGGGCAGTTGATTCGATTCTGTTATCAAGGTTTATGTTTTTAGCAATACTTTTTGCTTCTAAATTAATTGCATTTTCCATATTTTTAGGGGCTTTCTTATAGGAACGAGTAATATTTTTGACGCGTAAGATTTTTTTATTGTTTTCTGTTGTGAGTTGGTGAATGTTATTTGTTTTATCAGCAAAACCAAAATATTAGGGTTTGATTTAATTTTTTTAATATCTAACTTTAATTCTGTTTGAAATTTATTTTTTACAGGGCGAAACTTTATTGCTTTAATAAAAAGCAATAGGTCATTTTCAAAATTTTCCAAATTAGGTATAAAAGGTGGGGTATTTTTTGTTATATATATATATATATATATATATATATATATATATATATATATATATATATATATATATATATATATATATATATATATATATATATGTTTAGTGGTTTTAGTAAAGTACAACCAAATAAAAAAAAAGTACATATAATTATATATAAAAAAAAATTCTAGAAGGAACCCCTGAGTTGTGTACTCACAGAGCTCAGCTAATAGTTCATGCAGGATTTGTAAATTTGTGATATCTTTTTGAAAATCTAATTTATAATAGTTTATTTTAAAAAGATATTCAGCTGCCTATCATGCAGTTGTGTTATTAACCTTCTAACACACAGCATTGGGTAGTTAAGAACTAAAAGGTACATAATTTGTCTGATTTATGTACCTTTTAGTTCTTAACAATAACAAACAATTATTTTATTGAAAAACTAAAATTAAAAGTAAATAAATGAAATATAAATAAAAAATGATTAAAATTATTTCATTTTTTCACATTTAAAATAATTATTTGAAAGTTGTTTGGAAAAAGTTAAATTGGATAATCACTAGGTTCATATTTGTTTTTTATTTCTGCTGATAAGTTATAACTAGTTATGAAATATTAGTGGAACATAGTAGTTAACTACTAGGTTATAGATATAATTCTTTACTAATGTTAAATAATCTAATAATTAATTAACTTAATAAAAGAATATTATTTTATTTACTTAAATTAAATAAAAAAAAGAAAAAGAAAGATGTAACACTTATTGTTTGAATAAATTGTTAGGAGTATAATATTTATTGCAATATATATTGTTTGAGTATAATATTTATTAGTAACATTTATTGTGATATATGTATTAGAAATAGATATTGTGATATATGTATTAGTAATATATATAAGAGTATAATATTTATTAGTAATATTGTTTGAGTAGATTATTAAGAGTTGTTAAACAAAATATTATATATATTTTAAAAATTTACGCAAATATGTATTATTGTGTTTCTTTTTAAACAGTTGCTATGTAAAACCGAAAATTGCATTTTTGTTTGAGGCTTGTACATTTATTTTTTTATAAAAAAAATATAAAAGTTGGTAACAAATATTTCTAAATTTGTAATCAACCAAATACGCTACCATCTTGGGAGGCCGAAATTGGCTCCAAAATATTTGCTGTATACCCTATCCAGTTATATTTTGAGATCATTGGGGAAACCCATCGAATCCCCAAATTCTTCGGCCCTGATAAAAACCAGATAAAACTCAAACAAACAAATATGCTTGATTTTGTCACTATGCGGGACCCTTCTGGAAATCAAAAGACTTACCCGTCAAAATACCGATTCCGTAAGCCCAGACAAAAACCATACAATACCCGTCTGTCAATATTGGCTGGACACATATTTGCTCATAAATACACACACGCGCGTACACTCACATAGCTATGTATACATACACATATAGATACATATCTATTTATATACAGCTTTAAAAAAATATACATTTTCAAAAATGTCCAACCAACATAAAAAAAAAAAAAAAAAAAAAATACATACAATGCAAACAACGCACTAAATTATATTATTAAATGAATTATACTATACAATGCTCAATTAACAATACACAATACACTAGAATACAAAAACAAACAAAAAAAAAACAATAGCTACAAAAAAACGTTTCTTAAAATTAATAAAATTTAAAAAATATTCTTTTAATTTTCAGAAGTAATTTTTATATTTTATTTTAGTTCCCTTTAAATTACTTTCCATTTTTGAATGTTTTTTTCTTTCAACTTTGGATTTTTGTCTTTTATTTATTTTTTCTCGTTTCATCTTTTTTTTTTTTTTCTCATGTTAGTTTGTTTGATCCAGTTTTTTGTTTGTTTATATACGTAAGGAGAAATCAGACAAGATTCACTAGGGCCAAAAAAATTATCGTCACCTTGGATACTACACCAATTAACAGAAAATAAATTGATAGGAGAGTGTTAAAGCTTTTCGCGAAAATTTAGCAAACTTCGAAAAAAGTAAATGACAATGAGGTACCCGAAGGTGAATCACCTAGAAAACAGTAGTAAGACAGGCCCAATATTAAGCAAAAAACATTTATTCTATTCATTTATTCTTTAAGACAATAGGCGTTGATCATATTGATAATTTAGAAATAGGCTATAACACCTAATTATTACATTGAAACTGCATGAAACCAATTACAGTAGAAATAAACAAGGTACTCAGGTACAAAAAACAGTAAATTTCTTCATAACAATGCTAGACCTCATGTCACAAAAGCACTGAAAACTTTCCTAGATCAAGCCGATTCAATATAGTATGCCACCCACTTACTCGCCAGACTTAGCTCCATCAGACTTTTTGCATCAAAACTCACCTTGCTGATCATACAAACGTTGAAAGTCAAAAAAACAATCACAAAGATACTTTTAGGCATACCTATTAAAGACAAAAGAAAATTATAGAAGAAGTGGTTGAAAAGGATGCAACCATGCATAAATAGTAATGGCAAATATTTTGAACATTTAATAAAATAAAATGAAAAATACATTATTATTATTATTATTGCTATTATTGTTATTATTATTATTAGTTATTATTTATAAATAACTGTTGACGTAATTTTAGAAGGTAGGGGAGGGGGTTAACTAATAATGATATTTTAAAATTGTTTTAAATAAACAAGTGGTATAATTTTTAATTTAAAAAAATCTTCTTGATACAAAACATACCGTATCGCATGTTTTTTTTTTGGTAATTTTTTTATCGCAAGTTTTTTTTTTGTATCGCAAGTTTTTTTTTTGGTAATTTTTGGTATCGCAAGTTTTTTTTTTGGTAATTTTTTTTTTTGAAAAAAAAGTGCTTAAAAACAGCTTAAACAATGATACTTTTTTGTCTTAAAAAAGAAAAGACGACTAAAATTTTTTAGTCAAATTAATGTCTAAACGACGTTTCTTTGTAAAAAACGTCATTTAGACATAAATTTGTTTAAAAAAGTACTTTATAGATTTTAGGGCGTCGTGGTGTGCAGAGAAAGCATTGAAGTCAAAAGAAAAATAAAATTGTGTTTTAAAATGAACTTTATATTTATTTATATATACTTTTTCTTTTATGTTAGGATGGGAGGGAGGTTGAAGAAAGGAGGAAGAGAGAGAGAGAGGAGGGGGGGGGGGATTGAGGGTAAACTCTCAAAACGCGGCACTTGTTTACCCCCCTGAATCAACAACAAAATATTGATTTTTAAATATTTATATTTTTTATCGCCTTTAACGTTAGGCATTTTTTGCAAAAACTGTCTTAAAAGGTCAAATAACATAAGTCCATATTTATAATAAATAAATGCACAGCCGTAATTTATAAAAATGATAAATAGTGAGAGAAATATAAGGGGGGAAGCATACAGGTAAGCTTAAAGTGCATATGCTGTTAGCAGATGTTTACCTGCATCAGTAAATGTGTAATAATTTTTCTTAATTTTTATTACTGTCTTTTGTATAAATACAGTAAGTATTTTTGTTATGTACAATATTAGATTGATACTTTTAATATGACTTATTTCAGTGTGTGTGTGTGTGTGTGTGTGTTATGCTAATATAATCGTATAAATTAGTGCTGATTTTTATCTAACTTTCTTTGCTTTCCATTTTTATTAATATTTTTAGTTTGTTTTATGTAAAAATTTTGTTAAATTTAGAAAATTATGTAAAATACTTTTACCATGCTAGTGTCTTATAGTTGGATAAAGATGGTTATCACTGTTGGGATTTTGATGTGTGTTTTTGCATATTTGTTTTTATTCTCATCATTTGAAATGACTTCAGATGCAAATAGAATACAAGCTCCAGAAGGTTTAAAAGTAAATGGTAGAAATTTCACATTAAAGAGAGAAAAATTTAGAATAATGAGTGGATCCATGCACTACTTTAGAATTCCATTTCGAAAATGGTCTGATCGATTATTAAAATTAAAGGCTATGGGATTAAATACAGTGGACATGTAAGTATTTATGTGTGTCTTGTTTATATGCAAAGTATTATTTCATTTTCTTTTTTTAAAAACATTTTATGTAAACCAATCATATATACATATTAACTGCATTTACCTTTTTTTTAAACACAAAATCTTCTCCTTCTTTTAATAAAATAAATTTAAAATATTATAATCATTTAAAGAAACACCAATATGTAGAGTGACCATTGTCCTGGTTTTTTTGTAGGAAATTTTAGTTTAGGAATTAGTTTAGCGCTTCGCTCACCTACCTAAAAACCATGACAATGGTTACCCTACCAATTTTGGTCATTCTGTGCCAAAATGGACTAAAATTTTAGTATTTCAACATGGACCACCTCAAAAACTTGGTGGTTTGGATAATATCATCAAGAAAAGCAGTTCCTGAAAATTTCAGCATAAAATCTTTTATGGTTCATGAGATATGATCATTTGAAATTTCTGATTTTCAAAAAATAAAAAATTTAGTAACGAAAACATGTTTTTACTTAAAAAACATGTTTTTACATAAACATTCAAATTTTTTTTATTGTATACAACTCAAGACTTACTTTAGTAAAACTTTGACATTGAATTTTCTAATGTCACATATCTATAATATCTACCAATATAATATACTAAAGAGTCAATATAAATAATCTGTATTTCAAAAAGTGAAAAGACATATTTTTTTTAGTTTCAATAAATGTTAAACTTCCATATTTTTAGGAATTTCCTGATAAGATACAATTCATTAAAAAATTTATATACTTGTAAAAATGGTGGCAGCTAAAACTTTAGAAAATGTGTCTTTACTTCAAACCACCGTTAAGCTAGGATTAACATTGGTTTTAATAAGATTTTTTTCCTACTGATTTAATAGACTTTATTACAGTGATTTCAGAAAAAAAAAGTGAATAATCATAGGGAAATTACAAAATTAGAACAACCAATTTTGCCCTAAATGCATTTAAAACAATAACAATAGAGTTATTGTTGTACTTTAATTTGTATTATATATTGCAATACAAAGTTTGTATAAATTTAAAAGTGTATTAAAATCAGTACTAGATCAATCAGATACTATGTTTAAAGTTAAGTCTGAATTTAACTTAGTTTTTAAATAGTACTAGCTTTTTCCTTCCCCCCTTAGAAAAAAAATTGTAATTGGACATAATATCTAATATCATGACTAAAAATTTTGTAACATTTTTTTCAATCCATTCACTTTTTTACCCTTCCTTTTACTATTTTACTTATTTGATTATCAAGTTTAAACATAAAAACATTTCTAACTTATGCTACACTATAAGAGTTGTAACTTGGTATAAGTTAGAAGCGAAACCTGAAACCACCTATAATCCCAGCAAAGCAAGGAAAAATAAGTGACATGTTGGCTATGGGTGCAAACAAACATTTGTCATAGGAAAAGGTTGACAAGCTCATGATCGAGTTTATTTGTGACAGTCTTTACCCATTTTCTTTTGTTTAGCAACATGCTTTTAAAAAAACTTTTACATGCACTAAATCCGCATTGCAAAATTGTATGCTGACTGTCTCTTTGGATCAGAATTGATGATGCTGTTATTTAGTTAAAAAAGACTTTGCTCTCAATCCTAAATAACGTCAGGTATATTGCAACAACTACTGATTGCTGTTATGCATACCAGCAAAGTTCCATAGGGGTGACAGCTCATCGTATTGAGGAGGAAACCTTGGAAAGGAAATCTGCCACACTTGTTTGCCAGAGATTGAGTTGGTCACACACCTTTAATGTCCTGGCAGGCACTCTTGATGACATTCATTGTAATTACAGAATAAGGGGAAAAGTGGTGAGAACCAAAACAGACAGTGGCTCAAAATTTATCAAAGCATTTAGTGTTTTTGGTGAGAAAAGCCAAACTCAGGAAGCAGAGTCTGAGTACCTTGACATGTTTGACATCCTGGAAAAAGAAAGTGGTCTTGAGTATAAGCTTCCTCCACATCAAAGGTGTACATGCCTCTTGTTAAATTTAGTCACCTTAACTGATGCTGCCTCAACATAAAAAAGTAATGATACAAAGGCTATTCTTTTGTCTAATTATTTTTTTTTTGCCTTGGGGAAACGTCAAGCAATTTGAACAAGAAAGGTCATTCATATTTTGCAGCAGAAACTGTTGAAGAGAAATAAAGCTCTAGCTTATCTGGCCAAATCAGACTAGTTGGAACTCTACATACCTTGCTGTGTAGAGAACCTTAAGGATCATACAAGAAAAAGGCCCCAATGCTATCAAAAATGTGTGTAAAGAATTCAATGTAAAAATGTGACTTTTTATATATAATTTAATCAGTGTAATCAAATAAGTATAAAATAATACTAATTGAAATAATTACTTGAAGTTCCTTTTCTTATACTTTTAAAATATTTATTCCACACCTCTTCGTGCAAGAAATGTCTTTAGATTTGCATTTGTTGTGGGTCCTACAGGTTGAATCCAGTTGAAATGGTTTTCCTGGCGGAATATTGCGCTTGTATGAAACCTGTTGTTAAAGCAATATTCTTATAATAGGATATTCTTCAGTCTTTCACCAACACACTCATCTGATGGCTCCTCCCAGTGATCTTTCAGTTACAAACAAAATTGAGCTGCCTTGAGACATCCTTTAAAATGAATCTGCCCCTTATTAAATCAATTCAGGATGGTGTCCAAAAATGTTTGGTAGAATGATACAAGACCCAGCACTGATTGCTGCAGTAATTCTTCTGCTAAAGTTCAAAAACACATGAGCTGTTTTTTTTATGTCATAGTGTAATCTGTTTTTTCTACTTTTTTACTACTTAATCATCCATTGTTGTTAAAGTACAATAAAATGAATCTTTGCATTGCTAAAAATATAGTATGTATTTTTTTTTTTTTTAAGTCTGCTTTATGTTAGATAAAACATTGACCAGATGGCCGAAGTGGAGCAAGTTTGGCCAACATTCATCAGATGAAGAAGATTTTTTCTCATCAATGAAATTAAGAAGATCTTAAGGTACATGGGAGGTTGATGGGTACCTTGCTTTCAGTTCAAACAAAATGGATTTGTTGAACTCATTTCCACGCATTAAAAACCTAACACTGGTCCTCTTGCCTCTTAAACTTAACACTAGTCCTTCTGCCTCTGGTGCCTATTAGCGTCTATTCAGCTGTGCTAGACTCTTATTCAATGCAAAGTGAGCAAGAATAAAATTAGCCAACTTTGAAAACCAACTGCTTCTCAAACTTAACAAAATGTTTATAGTTTAAATTTATACAGAAAAGAATAGAAGTGATTTTAATCCTGAGTATATTTTTAATTAGCTACTTTTCACTTTGAATTAAGTAAACTTTTTAACTGGTAACTTTTACTTGTATTTGAATAAAATTTTGCTTAAGTAACAGTTAATTTACTAAAGTACAATTTTTTTTACTTTTTTCACCTCTGATAGAGTCCAAGTCTTGTTTACTTTTTCAACACAGCTCTTTTATTTTTGGTTCATCTTTAATTAAATCTGGAGAAACTCACAAAACAGTTGCTATTTTCTTTTTGGTTACAGTATGGATTTTATTCATTTTTCTTTTTGAGCAACTTGTTTTAGAGGTGAACAACCAAGTTTATTAATGCTTGAATTAAAGTTTTCTTTTAAAATGTTAGTCTTATAAAAATCATTATCTTTATGTTGACATGAATCGCTTCCGTAGTCATTTTAGTTATTTTTTAAATACAACACATTTTGATATTCTGTACAAAGTTTATGGCCAGGTATTAAATCAAACTCCTTCACAACATCAATACTGATTACTTTGGTAGATTCTAAAAAATAATAAAATTGTAATGGTAAGTCAACTTATTTTTAAATACTTTTTAATTTAACTTTGTGTTTGTTAAATGGATCACAGCAAAAGCTTGCATTATACGAAGTCTCAAATCTATCCAAGTAGACATTTTCATGGTGATTACAAATAGTTTGAATATAATTTACTTTGCATCGCAAATGCACAAATTCTTGTTTTTTTCTGTTAGTTCTTCAAAACCTTTAATTTTCTTGATTTTGATAAGTTTTACTTCATGATAATCTTTATAATTAATAATATAATAATAGTAATAATAATAATAATATGATAAATTTTATTTTAGATCTAATGATGCACTTCTTGATTACTATCTAAAAAGATTTATTTAAATAAAAGTTTTGAAAGATTTCCATAAATTTTGGCACAACAAATAAATAAGAAATGATAAATTTTGTATATAAAATAACGAGAATAAAATAAACACTCAATAACTTGCTTGTCTTTTATGTCTAAGTCTTTAAATGTGTATGTTGAGTTTTTTGTTCATGGATAAAGACACTTCATGCATCAGACATAAAACCAGACACTTCATGCATCAGACATAAAACCAATCACATAGTGTAAAGAGAATCGTTCAGTTACATTATTTTTTGTAAGTTTTGGGTTGTAAGTTTTAAAAATGATCTTTTGAAATTAACACGACGATAATGCTTTCAAGTATTAGTCCAGGTATTGCAGATACATTCAAAAGATTGAAGTATTACACAAATTCAACCTAATTAAAAGTTAAAATATTGAATTTTATAGTTATAAAGAGAATTAGTTTTTTAATTATTAATTTGAATTATTTTTCAAAAAACTTCAGGCTAAAAATCATTCAAAAGTTTACTTCAGCTTAAATTTAATAAACCACAAAAAGAAAGAAAAACCATTAGTACATCTATATTCATAAGAAAAATATCATCAATAAATTATCTTTTGAATTAGATAAATCTTTCATTAACAAACTTTTATAAATTGAGCTCTAAGGAAGTCTTTGTGCACATTATAGGATCTGTTAATTGCTTAAGCTCAGTGTTAGAAAGAAACCAATTTTTTCATTGTTTTTTTTTTTAACACTGAGTTTAAGCAGTATTTTTTACCAACTAGAGACACACACACAAAAAAAAAGGTCCTTAATGTTTTCAATAACTATAGTTTAAAACTTGCTAACTCAAATGCTAATATGATATCTTTGGGGAGGGAGACACTTCAGGATGGCCCTGAGCCTTGTTCATCAAAGTTTGAGTTTCAGAGTTACTAAGTTAAGAGAGGGTTGTAACCAATGCTAAAGTAGCCTTGGAAAGTTGAATTAACATTTTTTTTTTGTTTCTGATTATTTGAATCTTATTTTAACTTGAATTTTTATTTTTTTTTATTTTCATTTAAATTTAATTTAATTTATGCTTTGCATATTTGGCATTCAAACTTTGATAACTAAAGTAGCAATGACGTGCCTTTTAAAGAATGTTAATTACTTTTATCAAATTTTTTTTTATTTATCAAACTGCCTGAAAAATTTCTTTATAATTATTTAATTTTTATCACAATTTTTTTTTTTAGCATAACCTAAACAGTATGTGCATGCAAAGTTGAAAATTTTGTATGCAAAATGCATAATGCGTAATGTGAGTGGAAGAAAGCGTGAGAGGAAGATGGAGAGAAGAAGATTTAACTTGTTTTTCTTTTTTAAATACGATAAAGTATTTATTTTTATAGCTACATCCCTTGGAATTTGCATGAACCTGAACCAGGTCATTTTGATTTTAGCAGTGATCAATTAAATTTAAGGTGATTTTATTTTATTTTAAGAATAAAAATAATTCTTACTGATTTATTTTTTCCTATTATGTTTAATTAATTTGTTAACTACTTAATCATTTTTTTAAATTTATTTGATCTTAAAGGAGATCATCTAAAAAAAACTTTCAAAAAAGATTTTTTAAGGAAGGAAGTTAAATTAAAAGTTTCGAAAAAAATTTTTGTTGCAAATATTGTTGTTGTTTTTTTTTTGTTTTTTTTTCTGTAGTGAATTTTTGTATCTGTTGCAAGGTTATGGTTTGTATGCTGTAATTCGTCCAGGACCTTACATATGTGCAGAATTGGATTTAGGTGGTTTGCCTAGGTAAGTTATTTTTAAAAAAAAGGCAGTAGTTAGTTCAATCATTATTTTCATACACTTTTTTCAGCAATATTTTCCTTCCTATTTAGTTAGTTGATGTATGTACTGAACCCCCTTGGCAGCTTCCTATTTTAGCAGCCTGAGACTGCTGCATAAACTATGCATTTATATATATATATATATATATATATATATATATATATATATATATATATATATATATATATATATATATATATATATATATATATATATATATATATATATATTGTATATATATATATATATATATATATATATATATATATATATATATATGTATATATATATATATATATATATATATATATATATATATATATATATATATATATATATATATATATATATATATATATAGAGAGAGAGAGAGACAGAGAGAGAGAGAGAGAGAGAGGCCTTGGCGAGAAGCGAGAGCTTTAACTTGTGCTTTTTCCCACTCTCTCCTAAAATGGTTTACTGGAGCAGTTTATGGCTCTAGCAAAAGTATAATTTTTTCTTTTCTACAATTTTTTTAATTAATTATCATAATTATCATTGTAACTAAAATGAAAAACAAAGCCATTTTTATAAAAATTATTTGCATAATAAGCTGCAATGCTTTTTAATAGGCACAGTTGTTAAAAATAAAAATAAATAATAAAAAAAATAATAATAAAGTGCACTGATATAAATGCAAATGTTTAAATTATATTGATAAAATATAAAATTATTTAACTGATCAAAAATAAAACTATTACGCTGTAAATTAATGCATAATAATTATTATTTTATGTAATTAATTATATATTTATATATTAATCACTTTAATATATATTATTCACTTTTATAGTGGAATTTTTAGTTGTTGTAATAATTCTAAAAATGACAGCATACTATTACAATAAGAAAATAAAAAAAAGTTTTTAAATTAAAATTATTTATTGCTTTTGTCAATTTTTTTTATCAAATAAGTTATGTTGATAATAAATAAATGAATAGCTAATGTGAAAACGTAAAGACAATACTCGTCAGTTATTTATTCTTGTAACATCAACATTACAAACATATTCTTTTAAGAAGCATAAAACCAAATTTTGTATTTAATAAGCAATATTTTTAATGAAGAAACAGATAGCTTGGGCAAAAACCAAAAAGTTCTTGTAAGAAGCTGTATAAAGGATCAGCTGGCATGGCCATGTTTATTTTAAGATTTTTTTTCTGCTCTCTTTTCTCTGCTCTCACGCTCATTTACTCCCACCAATATGTATATACACACATACATAGGCCATATATATATACAAGTAGTATTGCGTACTAATAGCCTGCTGCTGGGGGCTTCAGTACATACATCGACTGACTAATAGTCTGACCTGAAGTGGAGTGCTGCTACATTGACTGAGGGTTTGTGATGGGGCAGCAATCGTTTCATTCATCATTCTTCCTTTTTTTTTTTCTTTTTCTAAAAAAAGGTTAAGGTAAGCAAAAAAAGTGAGCAAATGCTTATAATAATACGCTTTAGTAAATATATATATATATATATATATATATATATATATATATATATATATATATATATATATATATATATATATATATATATATATATATATGTATATATATATATATATATATATATATATATATATATATATATATATATATATATATATATATATATATATATATATATATATATATATATATATATATATATATATATATATATATATATATATATATATATAATCAAAACTTCTTTTCAGCACAAAATGTGAAATTACTTTTAAAAATAAGACAACTTTTTAAATTTTTTTTAAAAACATTTTATTAACCAAGACATGTTTTGACTATATATAGTCATCATCAGTTAAAATATATTTGTTTAAAACGGTGTAAAATTTAGTATATAATTGTTAAAATAAACATAATAAAAGCCATAAAATGTTGTGCCATTAATGTCTGAAGACCTTACAAATTCTAGCTATTTCTCCCTTATATTGGTCAATTATCTGAGCTAACAAAACGAAGAGTACATAAATAATCAAGAGATATTATAATTCGGTTACCGTAAAATTAGTATTCACTTTGTTAAAAGTGTCTAATATTTTTTCATCTAAAGATCACCTTCCTGTAGATCTTTAGATGAAAAATCATTCGTTGTTTACAAATTTAATTGTGCAGGATGTAAATCCTGTTATATTATTATATTAGCAAAACTTCTCGTCACCTAAAGGCGTGAGTGATTGAACACTACAGAAGTCATAAAAACTCTCTTATTTATAAGCATCACTCAGAAGAAAAATGTTTTACAAATTATAATGATAAATGCTTTTCAAATTTTGGATCGTGTAAAAAAAAAAATTGAATTAAAAATTAAAGAAGCATTCATATAAGATGGGAAAAACCTGATAAACTAATAAACAAGTAAATCATGTTATAATGACTCTAACAGTTTAATATGATTTACCAGTTTTTTTTGTTATATTTGACATTTGTTAAAATAATTTTTATAATTCTTATTGTACGTATAGGAAATTTGTTAACATTTTTATGGATTTTATTACGTTTATTTTTAAAATTATATATTTTATATCTTTTTTAACAAATATATTTTAACTGATGATGACTATATATAGTCGATAAATGTCTTCATTAATATATATATATATATATATATATATATATATATATATATATATATATATATATATATATATATATATATATATATATATATATATATATATATATATATATATATATATATATATATATATATTTATATATATATATATATATATATATATATAAACAATTTTAAAAATATATTCTACAAAATAGAGTGCTCAATGTTCTTAAAAGAACAGAGCAATTATAAATTAGTAGAAAATCATTTAACAAATTTTTTTTTCATTTTACACTGTGTTTCATCAACAAAGAATCATCAGATTTCTGATGAGTCTTTGATTTTCTACTAATTTATATATATATATATATATATATATATATATATATATATATATACATATATATATATATATATATATATATATATATATATATATATATATATATATATATATATATATATATATATATATATATATTTATATATATTTATATATGTATATATATGTATATATATATGTATGTATATATGTATATACATACATACATACTGCATGTTTTTTTCAGTTGGTTACTTAGAGATAAAAACATGAAATTGCGATCATTATATCCTGGATTCATTGAGCCAGTTGAAAGATATTTTAAGCAATTGTTTGCAATTTTGCAGCCTTTTCAAGTATAGTTTAGAATTTCAATACTTAAAATTTTTTTAAATTTCACCTTTATTTGCTGTTATTGAAAATAACAACAAATACAAGTATTTGTTGTTATTTTCGTTCTTTTTTTTTTATTTAAAGTACTGCTTTTTACTAGAACTTTCTTTTAAATTTTTAATTTTTAATTTTTAATTTTTAAATTTTTTTTTTTAATCATTACAATTGTTGTAAGAATTGTAACAAATGTAATTTTTTTTTATTTTCACTTATTTAACTTTATTTTAATATAAGTTTATAATTTTATTTCTATAGTTTTTTATATTTATTAAATTTCATAATTATTTCATTATGTTTTTTTTAGTTCAGCTACGGAGGACCAATAATTGCATTTCAGATTGAAAATGAATATGGTGTTTATGATCAGGATGTTAACTACATGAAATATCTTAAGGAGGTTGTTATGTTACTGTAATAAAAATTATTGTATATAATATACGTTATTGTATATTTTAAAAAATAACTTACATAGTTATGTATAATAACTACATAATATAGTATTTACATGAAAAATAATAGATAAAATAACAGTATAGGCATTATCTATATAAAGGAGATTTATTTCAGCAATTAAAACTAATAATAATGCAGTCTTAATAATTTATTTGAAAAATTTTAAAACATGTTTTAAAACTTTTTTTTAAAGGTTTTTTATTGAACTGTAAAATTTTATAAAACAGATTTTATGTTGCTTATGATGTGTAATGACACGAAACTTTTAATGATATTTTAAAATTTCTTTAAAGTTTAAAAAAATTTAAATATTTACAGTCTTTTAAATTTAAAATTTATAGTCTTAAAGAAATGCCTAGAGAAAATCCTATTAAAAGTTTTTACAAACTATAGTAATCATTTTGCAGATCTAGACAGGAGCTATTGTAGAAAAAAAAATTGGTCAACTATAACCCTTCCTTCGTCCCCCCATTATGGAGAAATTTAGCAGAAATTTTGCCTAAAATCAACGTTTTTTCAAAAAATAATTTTTGCTATAAAAAATATTTAAAACAAAAAGCGATTCTCAATTTCAATTCGGGCAGCACCCAAATATGGTCAACGCTTTTGAAAATGGTCTAGAATAGCTCCCGTCAGAAATTTTTGTTGGAGGGGAGGGGGGATGTTAAAATCAAAGATAAAAAAAAATGCTCCTTAAAATTAAAATCTGAATTGAGTTTTTTTTTTTTTTAAATTGAGAAATACCCCTCCCTTGATCCACCACTGACCCAAGTATATATCTATTTAATCAGTTCCATGCAAGGATTTTTCAATGAAATTTTGATATAAAAAAACTGAAATAATTTTAAAAAGTTTTCTTTTCCATTTGTATTCCAGTTCTTGTTTTTCAATTTATATTTCACTTTCAGTGGTTTTATTTTTAAACTTATTTATCAAATGGGTTGTATTAATTATTTTTAGATTTATATTTCAAATGGCTTGAGTGAATTGTTTTTTGTGTGTGACAATAAGCAAGGACTTGGAAAATACAAACTAGAAGGAGGTTTGTTTTTAAATTAAGTTATTTTTTGTTCTGTCTTCTTCATATAAAAAAAACCTGTAAATGTTCTATAGTTTTCTAGTTTTTATATAAAACAATATACCTATAATACATTAAACAATTAAACTTCTCTAACATGTTAAATGAGTTTTACAGTTTAGTATACTTGTTTTGTTATCGTTAAATAAATTAATTTTTCTTTGTTTATAAATTTTTAAGATTTAACAACTTTTGTTTTTATTTAGTATTACAAACAATAAATTTTATGTGGTTAGATGCTAAAGGGATGATTGATAAGCTAGAAGCTGTCCAGGTAAAACTTGCAAATTAAGTTTTTTTTTATTTATTTTTTTATCTATTTTAAGTTTTGATTGTATATTCATTCAAACAAGCTATATAATTACAAATATCTAATATCTCCAGAGCTTGGGTTTGATTTGCCTATATCTTACTTGAAATAAATTAATAATGGCTTAGATTAAGTTAATGATTGTTTGAAATAAATTAATGAAGGTTATAGTAAATAAAATAGCAACGTAGTTAATAAAAATAATGCTTCAAGATCTAATTATTAATGACTATCATCCCTTTATTGTCCCCTTATTATTAATGATTTTTATCTCCTTAATATTAAAGACTTTATCCCCTTATTATTAATGACTATTACTGAGTATATTAATTAGTAAACAAGATATAACTTTATCTATTTTGCATCATTTTTATGCAAAAATCATGAATTGTACAAAAATTTGAATCCAGTGTTTTAATAAATCATTTTTAAAAAAAATTTGCAAAACTGTTATTAAGAAAGATTTTGAAGAGGATTCTAGTATAATAATTGAGATGATAGCAATTTTAATAGTGATGATGGTTTTTAAAATTTTTTAAAACAAGTTAACTCAGAATATCTTTTTCCTGTTTCCTGTAAAGATTTATTTGAAATAAAAAAAAAGAAAAGTCAATAAGTTTATTTAAAATATAATTATTAATTAATAAAATAAAATTATTTTTAAACCAAAGCCTATAACTAAAAGTTGTTTTTTAAATTTATTTTTGCTTTTCTCCAATATTAGAGCTCTGCAAATCTTGACCTTACTACAAAGTTTAGGAGTCTTAGCCTGAGTTTTAAAATTATATATTTAAAAAAAATATTATAACTGATATAGTATAACATAATATTTATATAATATAGTACTTTAAGTTATATATTATAATATAGTTCATCTGATTTAATAAATATCTTCTTGATCATTCATTACATCATCCTGGGCAGTTAATCTTGCAGACAATACTGTGATAAAATATGCATTTTTACATTTCGGTTGATGATAAATATTATTTTTAACCTCTTCTATACTTGTTATTTATCTTCTAGAAGTTGTTAAGTGTTTCTTGATGTTCCAATGATTTATCTTTTGTTAGCAACTAACAATTCCTCTGTTAATGTATTCTTACAATTAGGGTGTAGCAGGTATGGCAAAATAGTTGAAATTTGAGTTCTACTTGGATTTTCTGTTTTGTATCCAGATCCAGTTTTTGCATAAAAACTATAAAAAAATTAATTTCAAGCAATTTTTATTTTAGACCATAAAACCACAGTTAATTGTGTGAAATAAGTGAGGTCTTTGTAATTTTTCATGTTAATGTAATTTAGGTTTAATTTTTTCCAGTTTAAATTTATTCAATAGCTTTTTCATACTCTTAAAAACACCTGAAATTGCGCGCATTCTAAACATTCTAAAATTAGTGCATGAAAGATTGTGCAACAGTATTTTCTTCAGAACTTCAATAAAAAAAAAGTTAAGTTAAATGTTGTTTTGTATTTCATGTCTTTTAAATCTAATGTTGTTTTTTTCATGTCTTTTAAATCTGCTGTTATTTGAGCCCTTATAAGATTTCTTTGGCATGAGTCACTTTAATATTTCTAATAGAAATTGAACTAGAAGGTAATGCTTTGGCATTGCACTCATACACAGGCACTTTTAATTGTTACAGAGAGGTTGCAGATTTAACGTTTTTTTTTTTTTATTTTTCAATTTTAGAAATTTTCCTAAACAGAAGCATTTGTTATAAATTCTTGAAAAGTCATGTTAAAAGTATTTTTTAGAATTGCTTTTTTTGCATTACAGCAAATTTTTCAGTGATACAGCAACAACAGTGTTAGATAAGCTCTAACACTGTTGTTGCTGTAACATAGTTGCTGCTCTGACATTGTTGAAGCTCTCATGCTAAAAGTGCTTTTTAGGATTGTATAATGAAATAACTAAATAATGTTGCAAAGTGTAACGCTTAAACAAACATTGAACAAAGATGAATTGCAGTGGCATAGTTATTGGCAAACAAACTTTACTGCTGGTTTTTGGAAAAAAAAAGAAAAATTAATAAATAAATAGATAAGTATAAGTAAGAAAACTAAACGAAACAAATTGAGAAGCGAAAGAAAGTTAAATACAGAAAAAATTGTTAAAAACAGAAATTTAATTTAGTTTGTGCAATATTGTATATTATATAAAGCAATACCTTTTAAAATGCAACACTAAATGTTGCGTTTCTTTCATGCTTAAATAAAGATATTTTATAAGAAATAAAATCAAAAAATAATTAATTTGTTTTTCAGATTTGTGAAATTTTAGTTTTCAAAATTCTTTGTTTTTAATTACTAAAATCTTATTCAAAAAATAACTTTATAAAAAAAAAACTTTTAATTTACATATATCTTGAGTTTACCCATCGATTAAATTACTCATTACACTGCTGCAATTATCAATTATCATTATCAATGTTGCAATTATCATTATCAATGTTGCAATTATCATTATCAATGTTGCAATTATCATTATCAATGTTGCAATTTGCAATATGATTTGTAATGTGATAAATCAGAATAAATTTAAATAAACAAAATAAATTTTAATAAATTATTAATAAATTAAATAAATCAGAATAAAATGTTTAAAATAAATAAATTTAAAATGTTTTAATGAATTATTTCAGAGTAATAAAATGTTTAAAAACTTTTTAAAATTTACAAAGCAACATGAAGATTTGAGTTTTTAATAGCAACATTTCAGTATTTAAATAAAAAATGAAATTATTTATTATTTTTTATGAGGTTTACAAATCGGATTTGTATAGGCATAAATGCCTGTCAACCTATCATACAAGTATACTAATTATAAATTGTTTTTTTGTTCTTGCAGATAATTATCTAGTTTGTTTTTAAAATTGCTCAAGGATGACGTATTTACAATGTCATCTGGGAGGGAGTTCCATTTGTTGACTACTCATAAGGAGAAAAAGTTTTTTATTTCATCTTTTATTTTAGCCAGATAAACCTGTATTTGTGACAGAACTGTGGGATGGTTGGTTTGATCATTGGGGAGAAAATCACCATATTGTTAAAACAGCAGATGCCGCATTAGCATTAGAGTATGTTATTAAGCGAGGAGCCTCTTTTAACTTATATATGTTTCATGGTATCCATTTTTTTAAATTTAAATTTGCTTGTTAATTATTAATTTATGTTTGTTGTATTTAATGATGTTGATGGTGATGATGATTTTTATATTCAAATTTGTAATTCAAAGTTAATTTTTAAATATAATTCTAATAATAAAAAATTCTAGTAATAAAAAATTCTAGTAATAAAAAATTCTAGTAATAAAAAAATTCTAGTAATAAAAAATTCTAGTAATAAAAAATTCTAATAATAAAAATAAAAAACTGTATTTACTTTATTAGGTGGTACTAATTTTGGATTTATTAATGGAGCGAACGCAAATAACGATGGCTCAAATTACCAGAGTACTATTACAAGTTATGGTATGGTTTTTTTTTTATAGATTTTTTTTTTCTTGATAAATACTTGATAAACATGTTATCTATAAACAACCCTCTTTTTATCATAGATAACTTCTTTTTTTGAATTTTTAGACTACGATGCTCCAGTTTCAGAAACAGGACATTTAAGCCAAAAGTTTGATGAACTCAAGTTAACAATTAAAAATAATGCACCCAAGGGTGCAGGTAGAGCATCTTTATTTCATCTTTTTTATTTTTATTTTTTTATTTCATTCATAATTTCAATAACCTAAAAAATGAAAATTGGTGTTAGTGATATAGATTTCTATGACGATTACGTTGCCTTAAAAGTAACTTATTTAGTTATAAAATTATTTAGTCATAAATATTTGTCTTTTGTTTTGAATTTTAGTACCAAAAACATTGCCATGGATACCAGATGATTCTCCTTATACTGGTTATGGTATGAAGTTTTATTTTATAAATTTATTTATATATAATATATGTAAAATAAATATCAATAATGCTTTAAGCAAATAATCTTTTTGGAAATAAAAAATTGGAATATGATTCAAAAGTGTCAGGTCAGGTTTATCCTGCTACTGGTAGCATGTAACCCAGTACAATCTGCTTTATGTCCTGCTGCCTTGTAGGATACGCCTTTTTAGGCAAAGGCTAGGAGATGCCAACTTTGGCATAAAACACCCCCTGCCTTGGGGCTTTTGGTTGTGATGGTGTCTCGATAAAAATACTCATCTTGGGCAAATGTTAAATGCATCCGGATGCTGTCTTGTAGAAGGCCTTCTAGGCAAAGACTTAAGGGGTAAACAGATTCTATCTGTTGACCTGTCTCGCACCCCTTCTTCATCTATAACGCTGGCCCAGATGTAATTTTAATACATTGTTTCCAGTTTAGGATGTTAAATGCTGGATCTTCTTGACTCAATGCATGGGTTTTGCTTGTGTCTCTGTTTTTATGACTAGGCAAATCATTCTATTATCTACTAATGAGGGTATAGCTCTAAAGCTCAGTTTTATTGTTCTGAAACCGGCTGGTAGTCAGGTTTTCCGAACTCTGTGGTAGCTCTCAGAGAGGCTGATTCCATCAACAGCTATGGATGCGCATGGATGGTGTCCCTGTTTTTACTTTTGATGTGCATTGCCAAGGCCACATCGGAGCCCTTTGTTACGGCTTAGGGTTTATTAATAGTAATGAGGCAATTGCTTGGGCTATTAAACAGTGTACTGAGTACTATCTATGTTTCGAGTCAAGTTTTCTCACAAATTTAAAAATGAATAAAGTAACAAAAACTATAAAACACAAAAAACCACAGTCATCACCAAGTTCGCTAAACCTATCATTCACCAATATTTGTGGTCTTTGAAGTAACTTTTCTTCTGTTGAGACTTATCTCTTGCAAAGTTCACCAGACCTACTTGCTCTTTGTGAGACTAATTTGAGTTCAGCTGTCTCATCTTGTGATCTTAGTGTTGATGGTTATCTTCCTTTAATTTGTAAAGACTCCAATTGTCACATGCTTGGCCTGGGCATTTACATTTGTAAGAATTCACCCATTTGTTGGGAAACTAGGTTTGAATCCACAGACTACTCTTTTATGTGCTTTGGTTTAGCACCACTTCACTCTATCACCTTTCTCTTTGTTCTATATCGCTCTCCTTCATCTTAAGACTCCACTCTTCTTGATGTTATTTCTGATTATATTGACCAAGTCTTTATTCTTTATCCATCAGCCAATATTGTTGTTGTCGGTGACTTTAATGTTCATCACACTGAATGGATTGGCTCTAGCGTCAGTGACTCTGCAGGTAATAAGGCCCACAACTTTTGCCTTTCTCAATCTCTAACTTAAATAGTCAACTTTCCAACTCGCTTTCCAGACAACCCGTATCATTTACCTTCTCTACTCGACTTATGTCTTTTTTCTGATCCTAGTCAATGCTCAGTTTCTCCACATTCACCCTTAGGTGCCTATGATCACAGTTTGATCTCTCTAAAACTATTATCTCATTCTTCTTTATCATCACAATCCCCCTATCATTGCACATCTTACAACTACCTTAAAGCTGACTGGGACTTATTCGGTGATTTTCTTCGTGATGGCCCTTGGGTAGAAATCTTTCCTCTTCCTGTTGACAAATGTGCTTCTTACATAACTTTGTGGATTCAGGCTAGCATGGAATCCTTTATTCCCTCTTGACGATTCCAGGTCAAGCCTCACTCTTCTCCATGGTTTTCCTCACATTGTGCTGCTGCATTTGCCAATCAAAACCATTACTTCCATATCTATCAGCAAAACAATTCTCCAGAAAACAGACGTCTGTTAAATACTGCTAGGAACCAGTAAAAAAGGTTTTATCTAACGCCAAATCCTGCTATTCTCAGATCATGAAATCTTGTATTTCATCTTAAAAATTAGGTTCTTGTGACATCTGGAGAATCTTTAATAGTATCTATAATAAGGGCAAGTCTGTAATTCCACCTCTTTTGTATGGTTTAGACTTTGTCACCTTACTTAAAGACAAAGCTGAATTGTTTGCTAAGAACTTTTCATCAAAATCATCTCTTGATTCCACTAGTTGCGTTCTACCTGATATTGCAATCAAACAGGTTGATCCATTGCTCGACATCCATATCACTCCAGCTACTGTATCTAAAGTGATTTCCTGCTTAGACTCTCCTACCACTTGCAGCCCGGACAACATACCTGTTATAGTTTTGCAGAAGTGTTCTCCGGAGCTGTCGTCTATCCTTTCAAAACTATTCAACAAGTGATTATCATAGTCTTGTTTTCCAGCCTGCTGGAAAGCAGCATCTGTTATCCCTATGTTTAAAAATTCTAGAGAGCGATTTGATTCGTCTAACTACCGTCCCATTAGTCTTCTTCCTATCATAAGCAAGGTTTTTGAATCTTTAATTAACAAAAACTTAATCTCTCATCTTGAATCTAATATCTTACTTTCTGATCATCAATATAGATTTCGATTTTCTTGTTCTACGGCTGATTTGCTAACAGTAATAAGCAATAGGTTTTATCGTGCATTAGATAAAGGTGGAGAGGTTAAGACCATCGCTCTTGACATTTCTAAAGCGTTTGATAAAGTTTGGCATGCTGGTCATCAAAACTATTCAACAAGTGCAACTATTCAACAACTATTTCAAAACTATTCAACAAGTGCTTATCAGAGTCTTGTTTTCCAGCCTGCTTGAAAGCAGCATCTGTTATCCCTATTTTTAAAAATTCTGGAGAGCGATCCTATTTGTGTAACTACCGTCCCATTACTCTTCTTTTTACCAAAAGTAAGTTTTTTGAATCTTTAAAGGGATCCCCAACTGCCGAGACAAGTTGTGTTCATATTAAAGAAAATGTTTAAAAAAAACATTTAGGCTGAACTTTTTTGATTGAAAGTAAATAATGAATGCATACCAACAAAATTAAAATTATCGTTTAAGTCGAAGCTTGCCGTCTCCATTTTTTTTGGTACTCGGAGTCTGTATAATGTTAGCCGCAATCTGCAAACTTGATAATTTATTCAATGCGTGTTTAATTCATAAATATTTCGTTATATGACATCATCGCAATACTTTTTTAAGATAGCGTTTTTTTGTTGTTGTTTTTTTTAAAGATATAAGTCTTTTTTCTACTTAAATCAGAAAATCAAATATTTGTATAATTTTTTACTAAATCACAAAAAATGTTTGTGACAGTAAAAAATTATACAAATATATATATATATATATATATATATATATATATATATATATATATATATATATATATATATATATATATATATATATATATTTATATTTATATTTATAAATTTTTTATTGTTACTTTGTTGTAGAATCCAGCCAAAATCATGACACAATTATACATATTTTGTGATTATTAGAGTTCACAGGCAGAGAAAAAAAAAAGGCAGTATGATGCGGTTTTTTGTTTTATATTTAGTTCATATGTTTCAATAGCTTTCGAGTATGCTTTACAATTTATCTTGTTTTCTACATAAATTTCCATTCTAGACACATAGAATTTGTTTGTTCTAAATGTTTAATAAATTCTCTACATAATCAAGAAAAAATAAGAGGTATATTGTGCAATTATAAAAAAGTTATCACAAAGTTAAAAAATCTTGAATAATCCTTCATAAAAAAATTTTTAAATTTAGTTATAAAATAAAACAGCGTTAACACTGTAAAACTTAACTCGTAGAAGTGTTAAATATTTAAATAAGTAATTACCAAAGTATTTTGAAAAAAAAAATTATGTTTATTCATTAATGAGGTTTGCTTTGGACTTAATGTTTTAGTTACTACTTATAAAAACAATAGTTTTAAGCACTATGCATTTTTTATTGTTTAATGATGCGTGTTAAAAACTTTATTTTATCGAATTTTAATTTATTGTCAATGTTATGCTATTCAAATGTTATTCAAAAAAATGTGCGGTTGCTACAAAAAGATTTTTGTTCGGCTTGTAGTGAACAATTTAATGCGATTCTTTGTTTTTATATTTATATTTTATACACTTTCTTGTATATTTTAGTACAAATACTTGTTTTAACTTCAATTTAGTTTGATTTGAATGGTTATTAGTAAAATATGTTGTTTAATATTTATTTTCTACTTATATGTTTTATTCAAGTCGCTTGTTTTTTTTTTTCAGTTTATACTTTAAAATAATTTTTACGTTTTTGTAAAATTATTCTTTTAGTATCTAGCTTATATTTAGTTTAAATCACTACGTTTACTGTAAATATTCGTTTTATTTTAAATTTTTATTTTTATAAATTTTATAAGTTTAATTTTTAATTGCACCAAACTTTTTTTGGGATTTAGTAAGAAGTTATATAAATAATATGATTTGGTGATTTTGGTAAAAAAATAATACAACATTTAAAAAAAAAAAATTATACGATGATGTCATATACTGAAACTGTTATGAATTAACACGCATGGAATAAATTATCAAGTCTGCAGATTGCGGCTAACATACAGTCTTCGAGAACCAAAAAAAAAATGGAGACTGTGAGCTTCGACTAAAACGTGAATTTAAAATTTAATGGTGTGCATTCATTATATAGTTTTAATCAAAAAAATTTAGCCCAAATGTTTTTTTTAAACATTTTCTTTAATATGAACACAACTTGTCTTGGCAGTTGGGGATCTCTTTAATTAACAAACACTTAAACTCTCATCTTGATTCAAATAACTTACTTTCTGATCATCAATATGGATTTCGATCTTCTTGTTCTACGGCTGATTTGCTAACAGTAATAACTGATAGGTTTTATCATGCATTAAATAAAGGCAAAGAAGTTGAGGTCATCGCTCTTGACATTTCTAAAGCGTTTGATAAAGTTTGGCATGCTGGTCTTCTCCATAAGCTTTCTTCTTACGGTGTATCATGCGGTAGTGGTGTAGTGGTAGAGCGCTCGCTTCATAAACGAGTGGTTCCGAGTTCGATCCCCACCACGTCCCTGGTAGTACCGTGCTCAACTCGTTTCTCAGCGCAGCGGCCTTGCTCGTCAAGGTTCGTGTTTCGGAGTTATAGAATTGAGAGAGGGTTATAACCTTAAATAAGTAGCCTCCTTGTCTGTAGTGGCCTTCTCGGCCTTGAGGAGGTGAAATAAAATTAAAAAAAAAAAAAAAAAAATCTGGAAGATTATTAAATCCTTTCTTTCCAATCGTAGTATAAATGTTGTCCTTGATGGACAGCACTCTTCTTCTTATTCTGTAACCTCAGGGGTTCCTCAAGGTTTAATCCTTGGCCCTATACTTTTTTAAATTTACATTAACGATCTTCCAGATGTTCTGACATCTAAGGTGGTATTGTTCGCTGATGATACTACCATTTATTCTTGTTACAATAAGAAGCCAACTTCCTCATATTGCTTGCAGGGGGCATTTGAACTTGACAAGGATCTCAATTCTGCTACAGTATGGGGCTCACAGTGGCTGGTGAACTTTAGTTCAGATAAAACTCAATTTTTTTCAGCTAATCGTTATCGCAATAATTTAGACCTTCCTATATTTATGAACTACCGTTCATAAATATAGGAAGGTCTAAATTATGTACTTGATGAGTCATCTACCTTTCATCTTTTAGGATTAACTCTTACTTCTGATCTTTCTTGGAAACCTTATATCAAATCCGTTGCAAAATTAGCATCTGCTTAAGTTGCATCTCTTTATCGAGCTCGACACTTTCTAACTCTGGATTCTATTCTTTATCTCTATAAATCTCAAATCCATACTTGTATGGAATACTATTGTTGTATCTGAGGCGGATCTTCTAATGATGCCCTTTCTCTTTTAGACTAGGTGCAAAAGCGCATTGTTTTAACATAGTTGGACCTGCTCTTGCAGCCAACTTTCAACCTTTATCACATCATCATAATGTTGCTTCTCTTTCTCTTTTCTACAAATATTATAATGGGCACTGCTCTAAAGAGCTAGCGTCTCTTGTGCCATCTACTAAAATTCATTTTTGTGTTACTCGTCATTCAATTAAGTCTCATCCTTTTTCTGTTACTGTTCCTAAGTGCTCCAAAAACTCTTATTCGTCTTCCAAAACCAATTAGTGGTTGCTTGATGAAACCAAAGATGATGAAAAAAACTATGATTAAATTTTAGTTTTGTTTAAAGTTATAAAAGTCTATGGAATAATAGAAAAATTAAAAGTAAAACTGACTGGATGTTATTTTAGTGATGTTTTTCAAACATTTGTTTACAGTTTTAAGTTTGTTTTGGATGTTGCATGTAAAAGTTGCTGTGTAAAAACAGCTAATAAATAAAGTAAGAGAATGTCATTAACATTGAGATAAATATTGTCATTGCCTATAAAAATAGGTTTGAAAGAAAGACAGGTCTAGCACTCTGCTAGATGTAAACATTAAAATTGTACAATAAACATTAAAATTGTGCAACAATCATAATGAAATGTTTAACATTAGTTATAACATTTTGTTCAGAAAAAAAGCTGGAGAATAATGTAAAAAGCAACAACAAAAAAATGTTCTTTATACATAGTTTCTATCTGTATCTATTTATTATTATTGTTTATATCTATTCTATATTCTATTGTATGATCAGTTCTCTATTATTAGGATGGTTTTTGAGTCTTTAATCGACAAATTTTTAACATATTCTCTTGCTTTTAATAACTTATTCTCTGACAATCAATACAGATTTTGTTTTTCTCATTCTACAACTTACTTACTAGCTGTTGTAATTAAAGATTCTATCATGCATTAGATGGAGGCAGCAAGACAAAGGTTTTTGCTCTTGACATAACAAACTTTAAATAACGCTTAGCTCGCTGGTTTTCTTCATAAGCTTGCTTCATATAGGGTATCTGGGAAAGTCTTTGAGATCATTAAAGTTCTTTTTAACCACAGTATTAAAGTCATCCTCAGAGGGCCAACAAGAAACATAAAGAAGAGTTCTTTATTTGCAATAACTTTTGGGGTATCACAATGTTCAATCCTTGGTCTTGCATTGTTTTTAATCTACATTAGTAATCTTTCTGACAATCCAAGTATAACATGTTTTATACTTTTTTAAATTTAATGTTTTTCTTTAAAATCATTTAATCAATGAAGAAGACAACTTAATTAGGAAAAGGTATTCTGGTATTCTGGTGCTCCTAATTTAGTTTTAGGTAAGATCAGAAAAAACTTGTACATCTTGGATGGCATCTTTTTCTGCATTAAAGTAAAAATACTTAATCTGAAAAAATAATAATTTTAGGAACAGTAAAAGTATTGCTTCATCTCTTCTGTAATGTTATAATTAAATACGAAAATGGCATTGTAGACATTTTAGACTATTTAAAGAAAACATTTAAAAATCTCAATTTCATTTCAAAATGATATTAAAACTAAAATTTTAAATAATCTCCTGACATTTTGTTTTGATATATAACAAAAGGTATAAAAATGATATTCTGTTTTCATTGGTTGGAGTTATTAGCAAACCTGTTTTCATTGGTTTAACAGATCAATTGTTCTGTTTTCATTGGTTTAACAGATAGATCTTTTTGGATGTAAAGCTGTTTCCATAGAATGATTCAATAAACAATAATAATAATAATAATAATAATAATAATAATAATAATAATAATAATAATAATAATAATAATAATAATAATAATAATAATGTTTAATAAACCATTATCTATACTTAATCATATTGAAATTAAGAAATATGTTATTGTGAAAATATACTTATTAAAATTGTTTTCAATAAAATATATATTGAATTTCTTATTTTATTCAAAATTTAGGTATGATTAAGTTGACAACACAAATGGATTTATCTGAAATTTTAAAACATGTGGTGATTTTTTATTTCTTTTTTTCTTGAGAAAATGTTTTATTCAATTTTTTTTAATGGTAAATACTTAATAATAATTACAATATTTACAATAGTTTTTAATAATTACTTTGCAATTCTTTTAGAATTTTAAAAAATATCAACAGGTTGTAAACATGGAAAATCTTTCCATAAATAACAATGCAGGTCAGTCTTTTGGATACATTGTCTATGAGAATACATTTCAAAACACAAAAGATGCAACATTGTTCATTGAAGAAGCTAGGGATTTTGTTTTAGTAAGTCAATGTTTGTAAGTATATATAAACCCTTGGAGTTTTTATTTTAGTAAGTTTAAGTTTATTTTATTTTAGTAAGTCAATGTTATATATAAACAATGTTATATATAAGTATAAACTCTTGGAGTAAGGAAACTATAGTTGGCAGTATATTGCTAACCTTAAACTGTTGTAGGTTAGCATGAGGTTAACAAAAAACAGTTTTTCACAAAAGTTTCACTATAAATGATAAAAATGAGGCCTGTAAAACATTGTCAACAGTTAGGTCAGCATTGCTATAGGTATAGAGTGCTCGATTCAGAACAAAGTAAATTTATATTATATAAAATCAAGTAATAGCAAATATATTTTTAAAACAATATGCAATTCTGAGCATCACTTATTTCACACTCAGAACATATTTTGTCTATTTTCATCTATTCAGATAATATATTTGGCCCATTTAAGATTTTTTTAATGATAATATTGATATCTGCTATGATAAAAATAAATCAATTATTTAGATAAAGAAACTACTAAAATTGTGTGAGATTTATTTTTTGTGTTATGTATTTGGCATTGAAAATGCACCTTTTTATTTTGCTACGTATTTAAGATATAGTTGTTCCAAGTTCATAGTGCAGTTTTTATTAAAAAAATCACAATTTAAAATCAAATATTGGTTTTCATAAGCAATATTAATTACTATGGTTACCAGAAAGATTTTAAAAATCTCTTCCAAAATTAAAGCGACAAAAAATTTGTTAAAAGTCATGTTTGATAACAACTGTTACAAAGGCCATAATTTAACAAATGCCGTCAAATAATCATGATGCCAAATTGCTAAAAAATGACCTTAAGTGGAACACTTGTTTCAAAAACATCCATTAGAAATGTTACACTGAAATGTCTGCTATCTATCAGCTGACATCTTTTGGTGTAGCATCTCTCCTGATTTAATATGGAAAACTTATCTTGCCTTGGTCTTTTTGCATATGGCTTACGCTTGGCCTGTGTTTTGCAATATTTCTAGCTATCTATTTATGAAGTTTTTGACCTTAGAGAAATAAGCAGTAATCATATGTAACAAGTGCCCATGTTCATATCAACCCTCAAAACGTTTTGAAGGCATTTGCCTAAAAATAATCTAAAAAGTTGCAAAATCTAATGATCACCCTCTTCAACCATTGTTTTTAGTCAAACCTAAAGTATGAAATCTTAGGAATTTGCCTAAGCTGCAACTTCTGCACCCAAAATCATCTCCATTAATAAAATCTTTCGCTGGTTTTTTTAAATTCTCATAAATACCTTGATATTGTATTTATTTATAAAGGAAATAATAATAATAATAATTAGTGGGTGCCATTCCCGGACTTTTTTTCTTTCCTGGGATCTGGAATTGAAAATTTGAAAGATCCCAGGATTTCCTGGGAACCGGGAAATTTTTTTTAATGTCAAAAATCACATTTTAAGAATTTTTTTCAGAAAAGAAAATTATAATAAAAAAAACATTGCTTTATAAATTTAGAAAGTATTATTTCAAGTTTTAAAAATAAGTTTTTAAAAATTACAAGACATCAGGTTTTATTTCAAGTTTTTAAAATAAGTTTTCAAAAAACACAAGACATCAAGTTTTATTTCAAGTTTTTAAAATAAGTTTTCAAAAAACACAAGACATAAATTAAATGGTCTGATAGACCTACTCTTTTCTTTGTTACAATGTTACTTGCACTAGAAAAAACTTGTTCAGATTCTGTATATGTGGGTTATATTGTCATTATGGAATCATAGATTTTTTTAAAAGTATTAGTTATTGTACCTGTTGCCGCTAATAATTTCATCTCCCTTTGTACAGATGTTGTTTTATCAGGTTTTGCTACCTCCATAGTTTTTTTGAATTTTATTATTGCACTCTCTAAAGACTTTTTCAACAAATCATTTGTAGTTGATGATGAAAGTAAAATAGAATTGTTTGCGTTTGTTGTTGGTACATCATTTGTGTCGCCTAAATCTAAAGTACTACCAATGATAAATTCACGATCATCAGAAATATTGGATTAGTAAATTTTTTGCTATTTAGATCTGCTAAAACTGATGATAGAGCAAAAAAGTTTCCATTTATTTATTTGTATTAGATTTTAAATTTTCTGGATTTTAAAGAAACTTTGCAAGCGAAATCAAATCTTTTGATCGCCTTTCTAATAATCTTTTCTGTAGGGCTTCAATGACATTTTTTGATAAGGTACCAGGTAAATCTCTAATAGAATTAAAGAGAAACTGCATGACTCCTTCAGCAGTAACAAGATTACAGTCTTTTGCACTGAGTGCTTCAACTGCCATTTCCACTGGTTTTAGGTTATTTAATAATTCCTGCATCATAACCCTCATTTTCATTCAAATTTATCTGGGAGTTTAAGTCTATTAGAGCTTTTTTAATACAGGATTTCAACAAAAGATAACGCTCTATCATTGGAACAATACTGTTCCACCTAGTTGGAGAATCTAACATAAGATTCAGTTCTTTTCCATGGTCCATTTTAACATATTTTTGAAGAAGACTGTTTTTTACCGCTGATTTTTTGAAAAGCTTCATAATTTTGCAAACATTGTTTAAAACTATTTTAAAATCTTCCTGTTCTTCTAAAATGTATTTATTTCCAAGTAACTCTTCATCAGTATCCCCTTCTTCATCAGCATCCCCTTCTTCATCAGCATCCCCTTCTACTTGTACATCTAAATCTTGATCAGATTCTTCAGCAGAAGAAAACTCTAAATAATCATCATTTAAATAGCTTCTAGGTTTTAAATCTTTTTTATAAATAATGTCGGTTATTGCGAGCTGAATATCACGATTAAGACATAATTGGTGGAACATAAATGATGACTCCCTCCCAAATTTTTTCATAACAGATGCTTCATCGGTTGTTGTTGCTAAAACATCACTTAAGTTAATTTTAAAACTGGAAAGTTTTTTTTGAAGTAGGTTTTTTAAAACTTCAGCTGAACAATTACCATAAATTCTTATAAGACCCAGATTATCATAGCTTCCGCCTGAATCATGCACATTTACGTTTAAATATTGTTGAATTTTAAAGCTTGTTCATTCATCAAGTGTCAAACTTAATAATGAGTTTATGGTTTCCAGTTTTACTAATTCGTAATAATCATGTACGAGTTTCATAACGAGAGTTTTGCTCTCAGGCAACTGAAACCCTCACTCAACTTTTCCCTTATGAACAGACTTTTGCAAATTCCAGAAATTGAAAATCCATCCTAAGCACATAATCTTGCTACTATTTCAGCCATAGATTGTCTTTATTTTAGTTAAAGATTTTTGTCTTATTTTAATTAATTAACATAATTAATATAATTAAAGATTGTAGGTTGAGTTTTAATTTTAGAAATCTTAGAAGTTTCTGGTCCTGCTTCCAAATTGGCCTCACTTTCTTTGTGTTTTATAGCCTTTTCCGGATGAACAGCCGATAGATGACGAATTAATCCACTGGTCGATGATCCTTTGCATCTAATATTTGTTGAGCAGTATTTGCAAATCGCTTTTTCTCGTCCTTTTTGAAATAGTTCCAAAATTCTTATGAATTCTTTTTAAACATGGTCTAATAATTGTAATATGTAATAAAAATAACTTTATGAGTATAATAATAATTAAATCGATTTAAATTTTACTTTTTATTGCTTACCTTTTTATCTACCAAGTATAAACCACTTCAAAATAATATAAATTTTACAAATTATGTTCAAATTATTAAAAAAAAATAATTATTAATTACTAAAATAAATTCTTTATTACACAAAATTATTACACAAAATAACAAAAAAAAATGTTATCAAAGTAATGTACAAAAAATTGCTGAATCTAACTTAAAATAATTTTTAAAATGCAAAAGACTACTTTGAAAAAAGTTAAGTGTTTAAAAAACCTAAACTAAGAATAATTTTTATATAATCCCGGTTTCAATATGTTGAATCCTGGGAATCAGGAGCTATAAAAATTAAGAAATTTCCCAGGATTCCCAATCCCGGGAAATCCTAGGTAGGATCCGCTAATAATAATGTAACAATTTTCACTTGGTTGAGCTGCCTATGGTTGATTTTGTTCAAAACAATAGAATTTCTTTGCAAAGTTGACAGTTCAAGCACCATTAAATGAATAAATCTTTTTGATGCTTTCAATGTCATTTTTTCAACACTCATAATGATGTTTTTCCACATAATTATGCCGTGAGAAGTCTTTGAGAAACTTATAAAATGTTCCAATTGCAAATCATGAGTTAACAATTGATCAACTTTCAAATTTGGATTTCAAGTTGATTGTAGGCTTCTCTAACAGAGTGCATCAAAAATCTTCTTGCAAACAAAACGTTTTTTTCCATTTTGATAACATTTTTGGCATCAAAAGCGTGCTATGAAACAAAAAAAAATCAAAAAAAAACAAAATTAATCTGGAAGTCTTTGTGAAACTTATAAAATGTTCTAATTGCAAATCCTGAAACAACCATTGATAAAATTTTAAATTTTGATGTCTGATTTCGAATTAATTGTAGGCTTCTCTTACAGAGTACATCAAAAATTCTCTTGCCTACAAAACCTTCAATACTGATACTATTTTTGGCATCATAAGCCTGTTATGAAACAAACAATCTTAAAAAAGTTTAAAATAAATAAATTTTATAGCCAAATATTCCAACAGAGATAGATGAATATTTTTGTCCTTTTTTGATATTTTGATGCGTGCTTGAACTTAGAATCTTGTTTTTTCTTCAGATTTTTCTGCTTGTTTTTTCGATAACTTTTCTTAGAATTCTTGTTTTTATATTGTTGGTTTTGATTCTTTGGGCCTTAATCTGATATTAAATATTTAAATAAATTCAAAAATTTTATAATTTATAAATTTTTAATAAATTAATAAATTTTTAGTTAATTTTTGTTTTATAAATTGTGGTGGTGTGCATTTCTTATAAAAATTTTTAAAAAATTAAAAAAAGAATTGAAAATTTTGTCTCAAGATTAATTAATTTTATCTCAAAAATTTTGAAACTAAATTTTGATAAACAATCAGTGTGGTGTGAAATAATTTAGCTCATTCATTCTTTTTTTTTTTTTTTAGTATTTGGTTAACTTTTTGATTTATACTTTTTTGGTTAAAGTTGTGTTTTTCAAAGTATTCTTTTAATTTTCTAGAAATCTAAAACAATTGTTTTTTTTTTGCTTAAGTTAAATATATGTTTAGTCAAACCATTTTTCATGGTCCCTTAGAGGTTTGAGTTACCGGGGTTATTGTGCATGTATAATTTTTAGAAAAGTAATTAAATAATTACAGTTAAATTTTTTTAAACTCTTCAATGCATTACACTTTATGTGATCATTAGATGTTACAAAATAATTATGAAACATTAGATGCTACAAAAATACTTTATCTCTACTTGAACTTTATCTCATCTTGCAGATGATAAAATTGTTTGTCTTTTTTGTTTGTTTGTCTTAAATTTTTAGTTTTAATGATAATGGTTTAATGAAATACATGTTTAAAAGTTGCTGGTATAAGCATAAAAATTCTTTTTAATAAGAAAAAAATCAAGTTCCACAGAACTTTCTGAATATATGGTAAAACAAAGAACAGGTTTTACAACTTCTATTCTTATGTGAAATTTTTTTTTTAATTTACCTCCCCAAGGTCATAAAGGCCATTAAAGTCGAGGGGGCTAGTTTAGCTGTGTTTTTAAACCTTCTCTTCACTCGGAAATACAACCTTGACAAACAAAATCACTGCACAGAGAAACAAGTTGACCATAGTACTACCAGGGATGTGGTTGGGATCAAACTCCGAACTTCTTGCTTATGAGGCAAGTGCTCTACCACTACACCATTAGGAGATTACCATTCCCAAGAGGGAATCTGTCTAATCGTTTGTTTAATAATACTTGTTTAAAAAAATACTTTATAATTATGTCATCTTAAAAGCTGCTTATTATGCAGAAATTTACCCAATTTCAATTTGGGGAGTTAGTGACAAGAAATATATAACAGTATGGGGTCTTTTTATAGTTTTTTAAAAATGTTTTTTATGTGGTCGATTTGTAACATTTGATGATTACACGATAAATACTTATAAATCATCAGATAGTGCAAAACATGTTAAATTGTATGTATGTGTGTATGTATATGTGTATTTATGTATATATGTAGGCATGTACTGTAAATTCCTAGTTATTCGAACCTCCTAGAAGAATAAGAATTGACCTAGAATAACTGAAATTTTGAACAACTAAAAATCCTGTACCAGATAAAGTTAAGGAAAGTTGCTTTGATTAAGCAGGAAATTTAAATAAGTACCAGTTCAAACAACCGGGAGTTTACTGTAATATTTGTATATAAGTTATTGCCCTTTATTGATAATAAAAATGCCCTTTATTTATTAATAAAAATGAAAAAAAGCTTTGAAAACCGTTTAAGTACAAAAAAATGAATATCTTTTGACATTTAAAAGGTAAAACAATTTATCTATTACTTATTAATAATCTTCAAATTTAAATCATATTTATTCAAATTATTGTTTTTTTAATGCAAAAATTATTTTTAGGTAGAGGTTGAAAACAATATTATTTATAGCAGCTATGATAAACTTAAAAACATCAAAATTCCAATCAAGCAAAATTCAGTAAATTTTTTTGTTTTCAAATTCAGACATAAGTTATGAAATTTCTAAGAGATAAATTAATAATGATTAGGTCATTTGGTATCATAATAAAAATACATCATATTAACTTTAGGGCAAAGAAAATCTGTTACGTATATTTGTTGAAAATAGTGGTCGTGTGAACTATGGTTTGGATTTGAATAATCAGAGAAAAGGTTTGTTTTTTTGTTGATGTTTTTAGGTACATTATTTTATATACATCCCTCAGAATTAGGGTCAGCATTTGGTAATGCCAACCTAACTGCCGACCTGAAAGTGTTTGAGGTTGACAAACAATTGTTAACCTTGTTTCTATGTTTTATGGTCAGACCTTTGTATCAAGTAATTTTTGCCAACCTGATGTCGATCTCAAAAAGATTGAGGTCGGCAAATTATTGCCAACCTCATTTTTCCTAATTCCGAGGGTTATATATATATATATATATATATATATATATATATATATATATATATATATATATATATATATATATATATATATATATATATATATATATATTATATATATATATATATATATATATATGTATATATATATTAGGGGTGTCCACTATGCAAAAAATTTTCAAAACCACCCAAATTAAATTTTTTCCCATTTTAGTGTTTGTGTACAGTGTAAAAAAAAGTTTTACTAAATTTTAATGACTATTCTAGAGCCCCCTCAAAGCCCCTAAAGATAAGCTCCAATTTCCTGTTTAACCCATTAGTGCCTGAGTTTTTTGTTACATTTTACGATTTATAGAGCGTCCCATTTTATTTTTTTTTACAACGCGATGAAGAAAATGTCCAAAATCATGTAACAAATCAAGAAATTGGCTATATAGTAATCGACGCTGTTGTAACTTTCTAGGACATGCCACGCATCAAGACAAAGACAAGACAAAATTCAGTGTTAGATCTTATGTGTCTCTGGAATGAGTGGAACCACTTGTTGTAGAACAAGAATCGCGAAAGTGATGCTGACGGAAAACGTGTTAACTTCTTGGCCAAGTTGGATAGTCTTTTTGATATTGGATCACCTGATGCTATACAGGAACATCATCATCTTTCTTTTGGGCTACTGACTGCCCAAAAGAAAGATGATGATGTTGCATTCTATTTAGATAAAAAAAAGGACAGAAAGGCGACCATGGACGGGCATGACAAAATCTTTAAGATTAAAGCAAATATAAAAGAAGTCAGACATAATCGGAAAATTATACTTAGAGATGAAGGAAAAGAAAGAGTAGAAAAAGAAGGTAGACAGGTTGATCAGGATGATGAGGACATGGAAGTTAATGACGAAGAACAGAATATTAATGAAAATATTGATGTTGTTAAAGTAGATATTGGTTTAGGGTGGGACTTAAATTATGAACCTCCAATGAATAGGCGATCAGAATTCGTTACTCTTCACCTCCCCAAAAGAATTATGCAATGCAAGGGAATCACTTCTGCAGCAGACAGGCTGAAATAGTCTGATAATAAAACAACTATGATTGTGTCTGCTGTAGTTAAAGCTGCTGGTGGAAACTTGGACGATTTTGATATCTCCAGATCGACATCTCGCTGAACTAGAATGATAAGTTGACAGAGGATTGCTGAGAGTGTTATAGATGTGAGGCTCAACCCACCCCAGTTTGGTGCCCTTCACTGGGACGGAAAATTGCTAAAAGACATACTAGACGTGCAACATGAACAGTTAGCTGAGCTTGTGTCTGGTGCTCCAGAATACAGTGAGGAAAAACTGCTTGGTGTTCCCGTTCTCGTTGATTCAAAAGGACAGACTTAAGCAAATGCTATATTGGATCTCCTAGAAGCTTGGGATCTAAGCAACAATGTTGTGGCATTGGTATTTGATACCACTGCCAGTAATAGTGGCATTCACAATGGTGCTGCTAAATTGATTGAAGAAAACTTAGGTTGAAATTTTCTCTGTCGACATCACATTTTTGAAATCTTTGTCGGAGCATATTGGAAGAAATTATTTGGAAACATTTTCATTAGTCCAGAGAATAAATTCTTTGCTGAATTTAAAACTGCTTGGCCAGCATTGGATAAACAGTTGCCAATCAAAACTTTAGCTGTTGAAAGCACTGGTTGCAAAACCTCAAAGAACAGACCATACATCATTTGACACATCTACTTGCTAACGAAGATGACGAACAACATTTCCAAGAGATGACTATCGTGAATATGCTGAGAACACACTGATCATCTTTGGGCAAACTCCACCGCGGGGTGTACACATATTCTTAAACCAGGAGCTATCCACCAAGCTCGGTGGATGGCAGGTAACATTTATGCGAACAAAATGTTCATGTTTTCTAAACAATTGCTTTATGATCAGAGGATGATGACCAAACTTTTTAGAATGAACAGATATATTCTATATAATTTTATAGAAATTTCAGAAATAATAATGGTTTCAAATAAAAATGAATTGCCTAAAATTTATATACAAAAAAAACCCAACAATTTTCAACTAAAAATTGAACAAGTCTTTTATGGCATTTTGTTTACAATATTTTTTTTTATAAAGTTTCAGTATAAAAGAATGTAAATTTTGAAATCTCTAAAAAACTCTGGTTCTTTTAAGACCCAGGTTAATATTCTTTTGAAAAAAAAAATTTACTGATATATTGGAGCCAGTGTGTAATCAAGGGTCATGGTGGGTGAACTTTTTCAAAAATTAAATAAAACCAATGATTTTTCAGTTACTTTCAAACCAAAGTTAATCTGTTTTTTATACAGGAAACTGGAGATACCAAAAATATACCAAAATGTATATATATATATATATATATATATATATATATATATATATATATATATATATATATATATATATATATATCAGGCTTGGTCGGGAAGCAAGAGCAATCGCTCTCAAATACTGACCACAAAAATTATATTTAGTTGCGAAAAACTGGCCAGGTTTTTTAGTCGTTTTGAGAACATTTAAGTTTTTGTACGAAACAAAAAATTTTTGTTTTAGGGACATATATGGAAACATAATAAACTTTAATGTTCTCAAAACATCTTTATGCGAAAGAATAAAAAGAATATTTGCGAACATTAAAAACCTGCAAAGTTAACAAAGAAACTAATTCTATTGGTTCAAAAAATACGCTGACTTAGAGAAATAAAGTTCTAGAGTATTCTGTTGAAATGTTTTAGAAATTGTATTATTCATGATTTGTTACGTTTTGAGATTTCTAGCATAAATTGTTTTAAGAATATATATTATTTGTTTACAAAAATAAATGTTTTAAATATATTTTAATTAAATTGTCGAAATTTTAAAAATTTATTATAAATTATAGATTTTATTAGTATATTCTTATTTTTTATTTAAAAAGTATGTATTCTTTATGTAAGTGTAATTGTGTGTATCTGTTTTTTATCGTAATGTATCTTTTGAAGCAATTTTTATGATTTAAACAAAGACAAAAATAATTGCGTTTTCAATGAAGTTATAATTGTTATAGTTAATTAAACTAATTATGTAACAAACATATAAGAAGTTTCTGGTTACTAAACACAAACAACGCATAGAAAGTAACTCGGGGATGAACAAGCACCGCGCCTGAGGTCACAACAGAACACAAATATATAGCAAATTTTTAGATATAAAGAATTTTTTTGCTTTAAATACTAATTAAAATTAAAAAGTCCACTCACTAAACATCATCAGCAATATTGTGAAGCAGTTTTGCTTCCTCGTCATAAAGTATTTTTAACCTATTTAGTTGATTTCTATCTTGTTAATTTAATTTCTATAGTAATTCAATGACTTAGTTATTTCATTTGTTTATCTTACTAAAAAGAATTGCTTCAAATATGTTAAACTTTTCAAACTACGCGAAACATAAAATAGGTATTGAAAAAATTAACTTTTTTATTTATAAAATAATTTAGCTTAAATAAAACTAAAACTTGCAAACTTTGCTAAATAAAGAGCATTTCTTTCCTTTTTAAACAATCGTAAGTTGTTACTTTATATAAAAAACATCGCTTAATTTTATAAAAAAAATTATAAAAGAACGATGTTTCGAAAATATTTGTTCTAAACGTAATTTATTTAGCTTTAGACATATATGTAAGTAAGTGACTGGGGTTGATATTTGACCAGGGTCAGGTTTGATAAAATATAGCTAGGGTCGGGTTTGTGACCATGGCTAAAATAACTAACTTCAGGAATTATCTTTTTCCGGATATTTCAGGAATTTCGAATATTTTTTAAATCTTTTGTATTTTCCAGATAATTAAATAGTTTTCGAAAAATACAATTTATAAAATTTTTTCTATTTATTACTGTCATCAAATGAAACAGTAACAAGTATATATAAACAGTAAATTTGTTGTCCATAAATTACGGAACGCTATATTTAGTTAATATTTATATATATATGTATATATATATATATACATATATATATATATATATATATATATATATATATATATATATATATATATATATATATATATATATATATATATATATATATATATATATATATATATATATATATATATATATATATATATATATATATATACATATATATATATACATATATCTTTTTCAAGTCATGAATAGTAATCCCAGCTAACGATTTTTAGCCAGGTCTAGGGTTGTTAAAATGGCTGCCCATTTGGTTTTTTTTTATTTTTATTTTATCTTAACATTGTTTTGATTGCTTTTAGGACTTCTTGGAAAGGTTTTGCTCAACAATAATGTATTGACTAATTGGAATATATATCCATTAGAGTTTAAAAAAGATTGGTTAGATAAGTGAGTTTGTTTTGCTCATTTTTTTTTTAGGTTTGTTTTTATTTTTAATTTCTTTTAATTGTGATTTAATTATTAATAAGTCAAGTAAGTTTCGATTCTGTAAAGCAGAAATGAGGTTTTTGCTTTAGAATTGTACAAAAAGGTTTGAGTTTCAGAGTTATAGAGTTGGGAGAGGGTTGTTACCACAATTAAGGTAGCCTCCTCAACTGTATTGGTCTCCTCGGCCTTTAGGACAAAAAATTAAAAAACATTAGATACTGGTGTTTACTTTTTATCAAATATAATATAAATGTAAGTTAATATATTATAAATAATATATTATTTTTATCTGTATATTATTAATATATTATTATATTATATTCTGATGTTATTGATGTTATTTACTGATATTTACTATTTATCTATATTAACTTAGGGTTCTTTCAAATGGTGTTTTTAATTATATACATTTAATTTTTAAAATAAATACATACATTTAAAAAAAAATTCCTAATGTTTTATAAGTTTAGTAGGTGTGTGTGTGTGTGTGTGTGTGTGTGTGTGTGTGTGTGTGTGTGTGTGTGTGTGTGTGATTTTTACTTTAATGTTTTTTATATTTTTATACAACATAAAACATGGTCTAAAAAATGGGAGTACAATTTTAAAAGAATTATTTATTTATAAAGCTCAAAATATTAAAATAAATCTTGTTAATAATAATAAATAAATTAGTTTATTTAAAGTTGATAAATGTTAAAAAATGTTTTTAAAAAATGAAATGTATATAACAAAAATATACATATGATTTGAAAATAAAAATTAAAAAATTCAGAATTTATCGCAGTGACCACTAGAATAGAAGGAATCTCTAGAAACAGTGCAATAAATATTACTTTAATATAATATTAATTTATTAATACTGATTGAATGTTACAACTATTTAAAGAATTAATTAATTTGCTTATAGCTATAATTTCATCCATTTTTCAATTCAACAATTTTTCATCAATTTTACTGGTAAGAACCAGTAAACCAGATTAAAATGAAAAATTTTCAGTTTTCAAAATTTCCTAATTTTACACTAAGCTTTTATACTTGTCTAAGATCAATAATTTTGATATTTTTTTGCAAGGAGTTATAACAGCTTAGCTGGAGGGAAAACAAAGTTAAAATACGTCATTTCTCAAAGAACAGTCTTCGAAGTAACATAATTTTCATTAAAACACTGCGGAATTTTCATAATTAAAAGCTAATCAATCGCATTCCATTTTTAACAATGATACTATTTTAAAACGTTATAAGAAATTAAAGCATTACAAATAAAAAAATGTAAATTTAAAAAAATCGTAAACAATATTTAAAGTTGTTATTTTTATGTTGTGCTTTTTGAACGACTAATAATAATAAATTTCTAGATTAGAATTGAATTAATAAATTTGCCATGTATTTTATATCTCTATATTTATAATAAAGCAATTTGCTTTTAAATCCAGCAAAAATACTCCAATACTAAATAAAATCCTAGAGCGTTTTAATAAGTTCCTGGCCAAAAGAACAGTCTTAAAGAACATAACTAACCTATAGCTGAATAGGCAAGTAATAAATAAGGTTCAAATTGGTAGTAGAGATTGTCTAAAACTTTAGGCCAGGTGAATAGAATCAAGCAATTGCTTTTACTCAGGAATTGGTCAGCTTTACGTGAAAAAAAGTTTGAGTAATTTTACATAAGTTTTTACTCGCGTAAAGCAGAACAATTACTGAGTAAATTGCTTACCTTTACGTGAATAAAAATTTGCGGAAAACTGCTAAAGTTTTTATTCACGTAAAGCTGACCAATTACTGAGTAAAAGCAATTGCTCATTTTTATTCACCCGGCCTATTATACCACCTTGATTTTTGATTATTTAAGATATATTTTTTATAGTCATTTTACATATAGGAGCCAAGTTTCAGTGCACAAACCATTTTATTGGACACCTTTATGTACATATTAAATTTTTAAATTAATTAAACGCTACCCCACTCCTCCCCCAGTGGCATTGGCATTGTTCATGTATTGTTTGTGATTTATTTATATTATGTTTATTGTTGTGATTTATTTATATTATGTTTATTATATTATTATATTATTACCATGTGACTTTTTTATATTAAGTTTATTATATATATTTATATTATATATATATATATGTATATATATGTATATATATGTATATATATGTATATATATATATATATATATATATATATATATATATATATATATATATATATATATATATATATATATATATATATATATATATATATATATATATATATATATATTACAATGCACCTATAAATATTGATTTTGCAGACACTATTCGGATTAAATATCTAGAAAAGTTCTTTAGCAAGAATATCAATCAGTAAAAATATCTTAAGAAGTTTCAAGTTTTAAGAAGTTTACCAGAAGCAATGAAGCATTTGCACTTTTTCACATCATTTCACATCTTTTATTCTTTACTTTAATATCCTCTAATATAGAATTATGCTTCCAAACTTTCGTCTTCTTATTTCTTTTCATCAAATTGATGACCCACATGGGTCTAACTTTTTTATTTATTTAAATTTTTTATATTTTGAATAATTATTTTATTTATATTAGATACATATAATTTAATATGTAGTCATAAATATATGACTTGAGTCTAGCTTTATAGGAGTAAAACAGAATATCAAATATAGGAAAAATAAGGTAGACAGTAGTAGACATTAATAGATATGCCATAGTATTTAAGTAATAAAATAGTAAGAGTAGTAGTCAAATATAGTTAACTAGCTGATATCGAACCCGTAAAAATATGGGTCTTTGTAATTCCAAATTGAACTTTTTAATACTTTTTCCTTATATATCCTAGCTTTTTGAATCCGTAAAGTACGGGTCTTAACCGAACCTACTATTTCTATACATACCTATTTCAGACCTATTGTTTCTATACCTATTCCTTATTTACTTCAATACTTTTAAGTAAAATAATTTTGTTCTGAAAAACTACTTTGAAAGCAAAAAAGGTAGATAAACTATAAAACGCTATGGAATCGCCCACAAATTACGCAACGCTAAATTTATTTTTCAAAAAGTAGAAGAGATCTTCAGTTCTTTAGGATGACGATTTTCATTAAACTTAATGAGCTCTATAGATTTTTTATTTAACATACGACTCTGCTAGGAAAGATTAGATCATTTTTGTGTTCTTCAATTGTGAAATTTAGCGTTGAGTAATTTATGGACGATCCCTTATTTTAAAGTTTAGATAAAGGATAAGCCTAAAAGTATATAAAGGCAAAAAAATAATAGAGTATAATACTATTTTAATGGTTATCTAAAGTGTGTTGTCATTGCGCACTCGGTTTTGTATGTGGACGTGAAACTGGGGCGTGAATTAATAGCTGTATAACTCTAAGTTTCAATATTAATATTAAATATAAAAGGTTAAACTTTAACTTTTAATTATTTTAGTAATCAGTCTAATAAAATCGTTTCATTTAAATATAAAATTAGAATTTTTTTAATTATGTTTTTATAAAAAACATACTTTTTTAACCGCCGTACTGTTTTGAAAAACTTAAGGTCGCCGCGTGGCAAGTTCAAATCATCAGCTTGCTTTATTTTTAATTTTTGTTGTCGTGACCCGTAAAATATGGGTCTTGCAAATGTATTCTAAACCGACCTTTTCTATACTAAGTCTATACCTCTTATATTTTAACATCTTTACCTCAATATATTTGATTAAGAGGTAGGAAAATAACTATAAGAAAACTTTACTCTTTGTTTTTATTATTGAGCCATAAAAAAAAAATTCAATTGTAAATAATTTTAAAAAATATGAGATGATTAAAATATGTGGAACAACAGACTTACCATGAGCAGTTTAATACTGGTCATGGTAAGTGAATAATAACTTCTCTTTATGTCAATGATTTTTAAAGAGATAAATATAAAAATCTTTGTTTTGGTAAAACCATAAATGTTCAATACTTCATAAATTCAACGAATTTCTATAAAAAAAAAAAAAAAAAAAAAAAACGGGGCAGCGGTTATTTTTTTCTTCAATAAGTTTTAATTTTTTTATTGAATCTGCAGCTTATTAGGGCTCTTGCCGTTTTAATTTTAAAGAAAAATATTTTTTTTCTATTTTCCTATAAGAAATAAAATTGTCCCTTTTATGCACAGAATTAACTAATCATCAGTAAACACATTAACAACTTAAGTACCGTGACATATGCTCAACAAATTTTTAACGATGTAATCATGTTTTTAGAAGTTTTAAAAAGCTTTGTAAAAAATTCTCTCCTTTTCGTTTATTATAGTATATAATATCTTGATATATGTTATGCATATATCTAAAGGCCTTTAAAAATGTTTTATTTTGTATTCTACAAATTAGAAAAGATTTAAAAAAAATTAAGTGCAAACGAAAGGATTAGAACCTATGCGAAGCACTTTAACCACTTTGGCATGTCTTAAAGGAATAAAAAATAATCTGTTATTGTATTAATGTATTAAATGAAAATCAATTTATTTATACATAATAACAAAACAAAATATATAAAGAAATGTATGTTTACAAAAAAAATTCAACTAAATTTGCATTATCAATAAAGGATTGGTAGATTAACCAATATTTGCTTTAATTGGTAGAATAATCAACTACATAAAAACTAATTATAGACGCATTGTTTTTTGTATCTACTTCTCACTCTCCTCCTTAACATATGTATATGTATATAAATAGGTGGGGGATGCTTTTGCCCTAAATTTAAACCCACACCATGTGGGAAATGTGGGCCCTCTATTCGATCTGCAAAATGTTAAAAAAAGCATTGTAAAATGTCTAAAATGAAACAAAATTAAATTAAATAATGACATGAAAAAAGCTGGGATCGGCCCCGTAAAAATACGGGTCTTTGTATATCTATTCCAAACCGAACTTTTCTATACTTTTACCTTCTAGCTTTCCGGATCCGTAAAATACAGGTCTTTACCAATTTACATATCTATTTTTAGCCGAAATTTTCTATACCTATTCCTTATTTACTTCAATATTTTTTAGTAAAATAATTTATTTTGAAAAAAAATTTAAAAGCAAAAAACTAAACATGCGTATCTTTTCCGCATACGTAGAGGTTATAAGATGCTTATAATTAGCTTTGTTTTTCTGCTTAATGCATTTCATTGATAGCAGAGTGATTAAGTGCGCTGTCATCAGTGTTGTTTTGGTGGGTTTAAGACCTCCTCTTAGCGTAATAAGTTTTGAATTTTTTTCAATCTTGTTTATATATTTATAGCAAAAAAGTAATAATATAGCAAAAAAGATTTCTAAAGTTCAAAATAAAATTTTAAAGTTTTCTCATTTTATAGATATATAGACGGACGCAATTATTCCATATAATGCCTGGAAACTCAACATATGCTAAAGACATTTACACTTACAGACGTTTGTATGTAACGTTATACAAATGGAACTAATAAGATCTTAGGGCACTAAAACATATTCATTAAAAAAAATTCATTCTTATGATTACGGATGGCTTTAAATTTAGAAAATAAGATGGAATTTAACGCTTTTTGAACTACATATGTGGGCCCTAAATGGGCCCCATGTAGGCTAACCCTTGAATACAAAATATTTTGTGCTCAAGGGCTAGCCTACATAGAGCCCATTTTGGGCCTATATATAAAGCCCACATAGGGCCCACTTGGGCAAACCCATATGGTCCCCAATAGGACATGTTCGCTGGGTATTATCATCTCTATTTTATCATCGTGTTTAATCATCTCTAGCATTATATCATTTAATCATAAGCTATGCTATTTGCAATCATTTTGATGCTACGTAAAAAGAGATAATAATTTCCATTTGTATTTTTACAGCATAACTACCAACGGAGTATGGAAAGATATTGGTAACACCACTCATGGTAATCTGTCTCCCAAAGTGTATAAAGGAACCCTGTATGTTCATAAGCATGCACCCTCTGATACCAGTATACTTGTCGAGGTTTTACTTACTTTTATAACTTTTAAAATTAATTTCTCTTTAACTTTTTTTTTTGTTTGGTTGTGTTACTTATTTTTTTACTTTTTTTTTTTTTTTACGTTATTTTTTTTTTTATTATTATTACTATTCGTACATTATTTTCATTGTACATTTATATACGTTGTGAAAATATAAACATTTTTTTTAAGGGCTGGTTCAAAGGCTGTGTTTTTATCAACGGCTTTAATTTAGGCCGTTATTGGGATCGCGGTCCTCAAAAAACGCTTTACGTTCCCGATCAGATTTTGTCACGCGGAGATAACACCCTATTGTTGTTTGATCTTCACGGCAATCCATCTAAACATGAAGAATCAGGATACCCATTTGTATCCTCCGAATATAAACATGATTTGGGTGAAACAAACCAGATAGAGTTTTTGATTTAAATGAGCACGACAATTAGTAAAAACAAAAAAATTTCATAATAAAAAATGATAAAAATTACCCCTCTAACCAAATGACTTTGTACAATAAGTAAAATTTGCTTCAAACAATCTAACCAATCGAATTTCTACAATTCAGACATTAGTGAGTTGTAACTAAACACCGTTGAAAATTTTTATTAGTAAAAGTTGCCACATAAAAGTGTTTTGTATATATAAATTGCAGTTTAAAATGTTTACTGAACAAGTGAAAGACAATGGTTAAAATATTTCTAGAAAAAAAAGATGGAATAAAAAAATGTGAGGAATAAAACTTTAGTTGCTCATTTATAAAGCAACACATTTTTAAACTTTAATGGATTCTTTTTAAAGTAAATTATTATTCAAGGTATGTCCGTATAATACGTTTGTATGTATAGTGTACATTTCCAATATTAGGCAATGGGTGTAGTGTATGTAAGTATTTTGGTAACATATGAAAGGATAAAATAAAAGTCCGTATTATTTGGGATAAGTTATGCTAATTTTCTTAATTATGACAAACAATATTATAATTGACTATCATTTTGTTTAGATATAGAATATTTGAGTGCATTCCAATAGGATTTCCAATTTTCCACCTAATATTCTATGTAGCGTATCCCATGGTTCCATTCTAATATTGTATGTGGTGTATTTCGTGGTTCCACCCTAATGTTTATGTATTATGTTCCATGGTTCCGCATTAATATTGTTTGTGGTGTATTCCATGGTTCCCCGTTATATTTTATGTGGTATATTCCATGATTCCACCGTAATATTGTATGTGGTGTATTTAATGGTTCCACCCTCTTTTCGTATGTGGTGCATTCAATGGTTGTGATGTAACCTTTGTTAGTCTCATACCTCTCGCTTATGAAGCGAGAGGTTCCGAGTTTAATCCTCTACTGCGTCCCTGGTAGTACCTCGCTCAACTTGTTTCTCCCCACAGCAGCCTTGTTCGCCAAGGTTTGTGTTTCGGAGATATAGAGTTATAACCACATATAAGTAGCCTTCTTGTCTGTAGTGGTCTTCTCGACCTTGAGGAGTTGGGGAAAAAAATAAATAATTCAATTTAAATACTTTCAATATATACTAGAAATTTATAGCTCAAATTTATTTGTTCATAAGTTATATTGGTGTATAGTTAAAATTTTCAGACTATTTACGTTTATCTATATGTAGAACAATATATGTTCGTTACTGACGTAACGTTGCAATTTGCTATTTTTCGACATTAAATTTTGCTAGAAATAAAACACGAAAGTTTTTTTAAATAAGTAGAATTAAAGGCTTATTTATGTAGATGTTTTGCTGTACGTATAGGCTTTACAGATGCAGAAGTTCCTTTACCACAATTCTGAAGCTTACCGGAATTGTTCTAAAAAAAAATTGCACTAACTCTGGTTGAGTTCATAACTGGGATCAAAATGATTTGCAAATTTTACATGAAAGTACCAAAAAATTGTTTTTTCGCGCTAAAATCTGTTTTTTAGCGGGAAACACCTAACTGTTTTAAAGTGTATGTCTACCTACATATCAACCATAGACACCATTGTACTAATGTTAACAGTGTAGGAAATTTCTCTACCAAAGTGGCCATTCTCTTACCGTGTCTAAAGTTTCCTCTCGGTTTCCCAGTATTACATTTTCTACCCTTAAGGTAGAAAATTATACACTTTAAGGTAGAACATTATACCTTTAAGGTAGTTAAATACCACACATATGACCATTTTGGTATAATTTTTAAAAGGTTAGTAGGGGTTGGGGGATTGTGATTTAATCTAAAGTTAGAAATTCATACCTTTTTTGTGTGTTAAAAAGAAAGATGACGCGTGAAAAAAACATATAGTTCTAGCAAACAAACTGCAACATGCTGTAAAAAGGTTTAAATTCAATTCCTCTACTGATTATGCTGTGCACAATCACAACTGAATCTATAAACACTACACAATCTATTGTGTAATTTAGGTGGTCCAAATATATTAGTGCAAGCTCTTTGTAGTTTAAGACAGATACAGATTTACAGATAGATTATGAATGAAATGAATTAACTCATTTCTTTAACTTTTGTTGAGTTGTTAACTTGTGCCCCTCAATTTAACTAAGTTTAAAATAACATAAAAGTTGAAATATTCAGAAGCAAAATGTAGTCTTTTCCATATGACCAATAGCGTGATTTAAAAAACTACATTTTAAATCAATATCTGCTGGCAATGACATATATGAGTTTTTCAGAAGAAAGGGTAGAAGTTTTTTTTTCTGTATGTTATAGGTGGTTACCAACTCTCTGTATGTTATAGATGGTTACCAACTCTCTGTATGTGTTTTATATAATAAAATTCGCTGAAATATAACTGATTGAAAAATGTTTTGAATAAAAACATTAAAATGGTTGCTACTAACCCTTGAACATTAAACAAGTTCGTATATTATAGAAAAAGAAATTCCATAAGTATGTTGTGTTGGGTCTCAAATGAAGCTAAATGAAGTTAAATAAAAGTTATATATAATAATCACAATTTAATTAAAAAAAGTACTAGATTTCATAAATAATGACAATTTTCACCAAAAAAACTAAAACAAAATGTATTTTTACAAGATTCTTAAAAATAATAATATTTTTTCTATTTTTTGAATAAAATAATTTTTATATAATTCTGAAATAAAGAAAGTTTCCGGGTCGTCTTTGCGGAAAAATATGAAATAATTTCTTCATAAGACAGTTCTTCGCGTTGGTTTGACAAGGTTCTAACTGACATTTTTTTCTAAAACTGGGATTATGACTTTATTGGACTATTTGTATCATTACAAAAAGAATAAACTAAATTTTACTGCAATCTAGTGTAAATAAACGAACTACCAATGTGCCAAAGTTCTATCTGCTGTTTCATTTAACTAATATTTAGTTTGACAAGATTCCAACTTGTTAGGGTAAACCCTAACTGCAGAATACCCCAAATTTTTTTCAGTAAAATATATGATAAAGAATTTCATGCACATCAAATGTCATATAAAAACATTGGTCTCAATATCAAAGTATAGTGTTCTAGTTTGATGTTGATGTAAAAAAAAAATTGAAAAAAAAGCCAATACTTGCTATTTTTTATAAATCTTTCTATAACGTGACACTGTACAACAAAAAAGTTTTTATCAGCGTTGAAACAACTATTAAAAACAAAACAAATGGTATTTATAAGGTAAAACTCCTTTTTTTAATAACTCCGTTAGACGATGTAAGTACATTTAGTAAGCCGCGCATATGCTTAACTGTCAGTCCAGGTAAGAACGTAACTGTAACTTTGTATAGCCCCCAACGGTCACTCATACGGTCACTCAACGGTCACTCATGTTTATTACCCATCTATTATTTTTAACGGTCAGATAATGAATGTACAATTTTGAATATGACTGATAAACAAAATAATGTAATTTCAATTTACAACATCATATACATAAGTTATACTAAAAAAAATTGAAAAACTTGTAATAAAATTTTTTTTTTGCATTGTTAAAAAACATGCTGTTTTAAATGATTTAAAAAGACTGTTAAAAGTGCTATAAATAAGATAGTAATACTGGAATAATATTTATAAAAATATTTATAATATATTTATAATATATTTATAAAAATATTTATATAATATTTATAAAAATAAGCAAAGATTAGCTTGGCAGCACAATATACAACAACCAAACAAAAATACTGAACATTATTGAATGACCAGTAAGAGTTTTTCTAGAACCTTTTGCAAGGTATTTGATATCGTGGAAAAGCGACATAAGTAACTTAATGACCTGGTCTGACTGTTGCGTCCCTCAAAATTGGAACAGTGTGATATCAAATAGTGTGTTACATTACAAAATACTAACTTCCTAGTCATTTATATTACTAAAAACATTTATGTTACTACAATATACTTACTCCTTAGTCATTTATATTTCCAAAAAGTGAATCATGCGCATAATTAAATTGTAAAGCCCATGAAGATAGCTGATTTTTATAGTGCACCTGGATTGATAAGGACCCTCAAACAAGTTAAAGAAAAAAATCATTATTATTATTAGTTTGTTATTTAAATAAATCCGCAAGATTTTAGGGACTATTGTTTAAGATCAAAGCTGTTTAACTACAAGTTAGTTCTTTTTTCTAACATTACTGTGCTAAAATTATCTATCCATGATTGAAATGAACCTATGACTTGTGCCAATGTCAAATTTCATGAAAAATCCTAACAGAAAAAATGCTAGTACGAGCCCATCAACTTCTAGAGTTTTGAATGTTAAACTAAAGGTTTAAAATTGCACAATTTAAGGTATTTTCACTTGTGCTTCTCCAGGACCGAGATTACTAACCAGTGGTTCTTCACCTATAAAATGACAGGATGCAATAAAAAGCATTTATGCTTTTAAGCCATTATGTAATGATTATCAAAAATAATATAACGGTAGAATCTTATCAGATAATATAGTAATTATTGTTTATTATGCTATTGTTTTAGTTACAAAATTTAAAAGTAGTTAACTACTTCAATCATAAATTTTAAAGTAACTAACATGTTTCTTGCTACCGTTATAACAGCTGTTAGAACCTTGTCATAGTGAAGATATGATTATTTCACTATGTCAAGGCTCTAACTGCATTTTGTTTATTTTTCAATCCAGAGTGAAACATTCTTTAGTTACAAATAGTGATTTTAAAGGCAAATGCTTATATTATCATCAATGAAAAATATTATCAATTGATACTCGTAAATTAGGTAGGAACAAAAAAAGTTTGACATTGATTAATTAAAAATTATTTACGGATCAGTTAGAACCTTTTCAGCAGCCGTGGCGCAGTGGTAGCGCACTTGCCTCAGAAACGTAAGATCCGTGGTTCAAACCCTATCTCTGGGCAAGTCTTGCGACATCGGTTGGGAAGGAGGCGTGAACTTTCTATTAAATGCTCTTCCGCGTTGCTCTGTGATAAGACGTAAGGACTTCTTGGGGCACCTAAATCAACATAAAAAAAAAAAAAAAAAAAAACCAACGCCACGGTTGTTATTTTGATGTTTTTCTAAACAAACCAGATTTAATCTACACACTGCAGATTTCAGGGGCTGATCCAGGATTTTTCGGTATTTGAGTTATATAACTTCCAGGAAAGTTCAAAACTCCAAATTTTTGTATTTTCATACTTTAATCATTTAAGGATGATTTACAAAAATTTGCGTTTATTAGAGCCTGGGAACAAAAAACTCTAAAAAGTAGGCATCACCCGCCTAAATGTGGGGAATAGGTGTTTCTAAATATTAATTCTAATATCCTAAATTAGGTGGTAATATTGTTGAGGTTCTAAATTATTTTTGAAAAATATTATGTTGTTTAGAAATTATACCCAGTTTAAATTTACAACCCACTCGTTTTGAGGGGGCTCTAAACTTTAAATGGCTATAACTTTTGAACGCTTGATGATTTTTTGATCAAACTCTAAATATAAATACACATTTGAGT